TCCCCAGTATTCTGCTCCTCACCCCTCTCCCCCCCCTCCCTCCCTCCCCCCTCCCCCCTCCTCACCTCCTCACCCCTCCCCTCCCCTCCTCTGTCTTAAACGGCGGAGCATCGGCGTCCCTTCGATAGCGACATTAGCTCCAATTCTTCCGGTGAATGTCAGAGCTGGAAATATGCACATGTTTTACTGAGGTCAGACGCCGCCGTGAGCCGAGGACGCCGCCGCCATCTTTCACCGGGACGGAAGCTCTCGCCGACGGGAAATTACAGACGAGAAAAACAAGACGGAGGAGGAAGTGGAGAATTCTGATGCGAGAAAAGGAAGTGAGAGACTGTGTTTGGAGGACACACTTTCAGAAGTTTTTTGTTTTTACAATAATAATAATAATGATAATAACAATAATAATATGTATTTGTTTAGAACTGTTCAAAAACTGACGGAATAAAGCAGTAAAAACATAACAGTCGTAATGATATAAACTCAAAAGAAATGATGATTATAATTATATATAATGTAAAGGAAAAAGGAAAAGATTACATCCATCCATCCATCCATCCATCCATCCATCCATTTTCTTCCCTTTAATCCATTTCTGGGTCAGGGGGGTGGCAGTCAGAGATGCCACCCAAGTCTCATAGCACCAGCCCCTCACTGACCCTCTGCAGGTGGTGAGTCCACAGGAGGACGGCTGCTCTCTGACTGTGAGCATAGCCTTGATCTTTCAGTGGGGGCTTTGGGCAAAGTGGGGTTAAGTGTCTTGCCCAAGGACACAACGGCAGCAGTCATCAGTGGGAGTCGGTGGAGAAGGTGCAGAGGTGGGAATTGAACCCACGACCTTCTGGGCTTAAGGCCAATGCTCTACCAACTGAGCTACTGTCGCCCCAAGATTACATACAATTAATATTAATTAATTGTATGTAATTAATAATAATGATAAAAAATAAAATAGTTATAAAAATAAGAAAAATAGTAATACAAAAATAAATACAAAACTGCAATGGAAAATAATGATAACAATTGAAAAAATGTATATATAAAAAATCAGAATAAAGGAAAAACAAGAAAGGGAAATATTAATAAAAATAATAATAAATTGCATTTATTCTGAACCCAAATGTTATTATTAATAATTTTCTCTGAACAATGTCCACAAAAAACATTGTTATCCTGTTTCTTTAAATTAACACATTTATCACACGCTAATAAGGAAGTGAGCTGGGTTTAGACCAAAACCTCCGGCCCCGAGACCGTTCATGGCATTGTTATTATTATTATTATTACTATTATTATTCTTTTACAGCCTATTTTCTCTGGAAAACAACCATATGATTGAATCTGTTCTGAAATGTTAAGTAACGTGTGATTAGTTAAATTATAACAGCACGTTTTGGACTCTCTTCACATCGTTATTCTTTCTCCCCAAACTACTGTAGCCACAGCTGCCCTGGGGCACACTGTCAGAAGCCCCTCCCACCACCACCAACCATTCACACACACACCAGACTCATTCTAATGTGGGGGAAGTGTCTTGCCTAAGGACACAACCACAGTTTGGCACTTTACAGCCGCCCCACTGTGGCACCTGCTGTTCCCAGAGGTCTCCCATCACAGTACTAACCAGGCTCTGCCCTGCTTAGCTTCAGACGGCTTTCACCTGGAGGTGGACACAAAACTTCACATTAAAGATATATTTTTTAAACATATCTCTGAATCTTTTTCTGATATTTGACCCAGTTGTGACTAAACCCACTCAAAATAAAATCCAAACTGAAAACACTAAAGTTTGTTCAATAAAAAGTCATGATAAAAAATGCATGACTTTTTTACTTTTGACTTCTTTTGGGCGACACAAGAGTAAATGGAATTGAAAGTTTTAAAGGTGTTTTTATTCTTTAACCTGAGACATTTTGAGGCAATACTTTTGTTTTAATAGCATACCAGAAGTTGCTACTATCATCATGGATGGAGCTAAAAGCAGCTCCAGGGCTGATCTGACTGAGGCCGATGCTGTGAGGTGATGACCGGGTTTGCTAATGCTGTTTTCTGATCTGAGACGCTGAGAACGCTGGTGCAATGGCGCCCCCTGCTGCTGCAAACAGGAAAGGCTTCTGCTCTGCTGCTGTGTCTTCCCAAACCGTGAACATGTTTCAATGTTTTCACAACAACTGCTTCTTTTTAAGCTAAAGTTAATGATGTTATATTATTTTAGTTCAGATTTATAGTCACCAGATTTATTAAAAGTAAGTAATTTACAGTGTTTTGACCTTTACTCACTTTTAAATAGGTGCTAAAACTGGTGAAGCGCAAATGCTAAATGCTAACGGCTAACAGTAAACAGTGTGTTGCTATGGTAACTAGGGCTGGCTCTTTCTGGGAGTTAAATAAAGCATAGATTAATCAAAATGATGACACATTCACATAAACCATGTATAAAAACAGAACAGTCTATATCTACAGTCTATACTATCCACAGTATATACTATCTACAGTCTATACTATCTACAGTCTATACTATCTACAGTCTATACTATCCACAGTCTATACTATCTACAGTCTATACTATCTACAGTCTATACTATCCACAGTCTATACCATCCACAGTCTATACTATCCACAGTCTATACTATCCACAGTCTATACTATCTACAGTCTATACTATCCACAGTCTATACTATCCACAGTCTATACTACCTACAGTCTATACTACCTACAGTCTATACTACCTACAGTCTATACTACCTACAGTCTATACTATCTACAGTCTATACTATCCACAGTCTATACCATCCACAGTCTATACTATCCACAGTCTATACTATCCACAGTCTATACTATCTACAGTCTATACTATCCACAGTCTATACCATCCACAGTCTATACTATCCACAGTCTATACTATCCACAGTCTATACTATCTACAGTCTATACTATCTACAGTCTATACTATCTACAGTCTATACTATCTACAGTCTATACTATCTACAGTCTATACTATCCACAGTCTATACTATCTACAGTCTATACTATCCACAGTCTATACTATCCACAGTCTATACTATCCACAGTCTATACTATCTACAGTCTATACTATCTACAGTCTATACTATCCACAGTCTATACCATCCACAGTCTATACTATCCACAGTCTATACTATCCACAGTCTATACTATCTACAGTCTATACTATCCACAGTCTATACTATCCACAGTCTATATTATCTACAGTCTATACTATCCACAGTCTATACTACCTACAGTCTATACTACCTACAGTCTATACTATCCACAGTCTATACTACCTACAGTCTATACTATCTACAGTCTATACTAGCCACAGTCTATACTATGGTCATCAGGTTGTGTTGTTTGTTGTACAGTCTGACAGCAGCAGAGGAAAGACCAGATTAAAGACAGATCAGATTCAAACAATAAAAACATGTTTTATATTTTTGAAAACCACCTGAATCTCAAGTAAAAAAGAGACTTTGATAAAAAAAGTGTGTAACATGAGGTTGTATCGTTCATGAAGGGTTGTGTTTCTGTTTTCTGTACTGTAGTGCAATGTTCCCTCTAAGCTGCGCGCGTGAGCAATCGCGCACTGCTTGCACAGTCTCAGCGCACAAGAAAACTTGTGCTGCGCACAAAAATAAAATTCAAAATAAACGTGTTAATTAATATCAAATATTAGACCTAATTTAATCTATTTAATTAGACCAATAATACTGTTTTCTGTTCATTTTGCAAGATAACTCAGTGAGTGACAGGTGTTGAGCCAATAATACGATGCGGTTCACCTACGTGGCCAATCATAGCATTGATTTGCCCTGTCCGTATGCGCCCATTGATGTACGCGCAGGTTAGCTTGCTAACGGCACGGCAATACTGAGGAGAGAGAAGCTAATACGAAACCCTCATGATGGCGAAACGAACGGGCAGCGACACACCCACTCACCAAGCCAAAGTAAAAAAGAAATGCGGTTCTTTTAAGGTGGAATGGCTGTCGGAGAATGTGAAAATAGAAGAAGAAGTGGTGAAACTGGGTGAGATTTTTAATTTTTCGAGTGAGAAAGGACTACTCTGTAAAACATGCAGCGAAGCCAAAGTAGAAAGTGAATTTTCGGAGGGAAAAATGTGGACTGAATGGAAGTTGGACTACCTCAAGCGGCACATTCAGCACAAAAGTCATTTGAAAGCTGTTGGAATTGTACAAAGACTCAAGATGGGACAGGGGATTGGTACGTTACTGCTGGAGAGCGCAAAAGACAGAGAGAAAAGGAACGTGCTGTCACTCAAAATAAAATCTCACCCCGAACAAGTTCAAGTTCTGCCATCAAAATGAATGCATCAATGCTGTCAGTTCAACAAATCCTCGATCACATGGCAAAGTATGTGAGTATACCAGAAAACTGGCGAAGCAAAAACTATGCCTTTGAATTTGTGAACTCTATCAATGAGATCGTGCAAAATGAGACTATGTGCAGTGTTAAAAATTCTCCTTGGCATACCCTGATAGTAGATGAGAGCACAGATATATCAGTACACAAAATGCTTGTCCTATATATTAAGTATAGGGAGGAAAATTATGTTAACTATAAAACTGTGTTTGGTGGCATCACCCAGCTGACAGCATGCACTGCCCAGGATATTGTGCAAGCAATAACTCAGTTTTACTTCAACCATGGACTGGACATGCAGAGAATGGTGATGCTGACCTCTGATGGTCTCTCTTCCCATGGCCACAGCAGGACTCTTCCCATGGCCACAGCAGGACTCTTCCCATGGCCACAGCAGGACTCTTCCCATGGCCACAGCAGGACTCTTCCCATGGCCAAAGTAGGACTCTTCCCATGGCCACAGCAGGACTCTTCCCATGGCCACAGCAGGACTCTTCCCATGGCCACAGCAGGACTCTTCCCATAGCCACAGCAGGACTCTTCCCATGGCCACAGCAGGACTCTTCCCATAGCCACAGCAGGACTCTTCCCATAGCCACAGCAGGACTCTTCCCATGGCCACAGCAGGACTCTTCCCATAGCCACAGCAGGACTCTTCCCATGGCCAAAGCAGGACTCTTCCCATGGCCACAGCAGGACTCTTCCCATGGCCACAGCAGGACTCTTCCCATGGCCACAGCAGGACTCTTCCCATAGCCACAGCAGGACTCTTCCCATGGCCACAGCAGGACTCTTCCCTTGACCACAGCAGGACTCTTCCCATGGCCACAGCAGGACTCTTCCCATGGCCACAGCAGGACTCTTCCCATGGCCACAGCAGGACTCTTCCCATGGCCAAAGCAGGACTCTTCCCATGGCCACAGCAGGACTCTTCCCATGGCCACAGCAGGACTCTTCCCATGGCCACAGCAGGACTCTTCCCATGGCCACAGCAGGACTCTTCCCTTGACCACAGCAGGACTCTTCCCATGGCCAAAGCAGGACTCTTCCCATGGCCACAGCAGGACTCTTCCCATGGCCACAGCAGGACTCTTCCCATGGCCACAGCAGGACTCTTCCCATGGCCAAAGCAGGACTCTTCCCATGGCCACAGCAGGACTCTTCCCATGGCCACAGCAGGACTCTTCCCATGGCCACAGCAGGACTCTTCCCATGGCCAAAGCAGGACTCTTCCCTTGACCACAGCAGGACTCTTCCCATGGCCAAAGCAGGACTCTTCCCATGGCCACAGCAGGACCCTCACATACTACACATCTCTTGAACAACAAGATTTTTGTCTTTTTCATTTAATGTGGGCCTAATTACTTATATTAAAAGTAAACTAGTGCAAATTGCTGCTGTAATTTGATTCTTTTAACAAGCCATGTAATTAGCTATGATCCAAGGTTTTGAACAGGTGTGATACTGGTCTTTGGTCAGAGCGTGCACATCTGATGTTGCTCACAGTGGTCCTCAGTGTGCTCAGGGAGCTTAGGTGTTTGCCCAGACAAATGAAAAATTAGAGGGAACATTGCTGTAGTGTGTTCTCAGGGCGTGTCTGCAGCTCATACATGTGTCATGCTAACACACCGCTAACACACTCTCCTCCCAGATCATGTTTCTGAGCCCATTGTAGCGCAACACAAAGACAACACACAGCTGATAAACAACACACACTTCACATTTGTGCCACATTTAACAGAGAATTAACAAGCTTCAGATGTTTAAGATGCTTTACCTAAAGATCAAAGACACTGTTTACTGCAAACCAGCAATCAGTTGTGATGTCACACTTTACAAACAGCACAACGGCTGTTCAATCTGAAGAGACCAAAGACACAATTAATACAATAAAATTATTTATTTGTTTGGCGCGTTGACCCCGGCAGTGACACTTGCAGCAATGAGATCGATTGCAGCTGAAGATGATCTCAGATCCCCCGGGGTCAATCACTGGTGGTGGCTAGAGTATGGTGTGAATGGGACGTAGGCGGAGCAGGAGCCTAGAGCAGGAGCCAGAGGGGGTGCTGGGGAGGTGGTGGGTGTTTAAGAGCCTCAGGAAGCGTTGTTTGTCAGGAAGTGGCTGCCTTTTAAACTGCCCGCTTTGCTGTGAGAGGGTTGGCAGGAGGCTGGCCTGGCTGTGTGATTGGCTGAGGCTCGAGGCTGGCCTGGCTGTGTGATTGGCTGAGGCTCGAGGCTGGCAGAGCTGTGTGATTGGCTGAGGCTCGAGGCTGGCAGGCACTCGGTCTTTCAGTCTGAACATGCACCTTCAGCTTCATTTCAATCTGAAGAGACCAAAGACACAATTAATACAATAAAATTATTTATTTGTTTGGCGCGTTGACCCCGGCAGTGACACTTGCAGCTATGAGATCGATTGCAGCTGAAGATGATCTCAGATCCCCCAAAAGAGGAAGCTAGAGCTGTGTGTGCCGGGGAATGCGCAGGCCTCCCGTGGGAAGCTGCCTATCTGGAGGCGTTGGAGCATAGCATTGCATAGAGGCAGCATTGCATGAATAGAATACAGAGAATATGCGGGGGTGACAAATCCGCACGCTCTGTAATGATTATGCGTGTATGAAGCGTTGCGGGGCGACAGTAGCTCAATTGGTAGAGCATTGGCCTTTGGGCCTGAAGGTCGTGGGTTTGAGCCCACCATAAGACCTACTTCACGACTCCCACTGATGACTGCTGTCATTGTGTCCTTGGGCAAGACACTTAACCCCACTTTGCCTGAAGCTCCCACTGAAAGATCTCAGTTCCTGTGGACTCACCACCTGCAGGAGGATCAGTGAGGGGCTGGTGCTAAGTGTACTGGGTGCAGCTCTGACTGCCACCCCCCCGACCCAGAAATGGATTAAGGGGAAGAAAATGGATGGATGGATGGAAGCGTTGGCCCTTGGAGCGTGCGGAGGGTTTCTCGCGCACAGACCGCTTCGTGAGGGTGCGTGTATGACGTAGGCCGCAGGGGATCTGTGGGAACAGACACTCACTGAATGAGCGGCTATGTGATCATGCGTGCGTGATGGATGCGTGAAATGAAGAGTAAATGCGTGTAATCGCAGAGCTGATGCAGGCTCTGCGTGTTGAGAATGTGGAGCAGCGATGTAGAAAGCTTTCTCATACAAGATCTGCTATATTTGAGCATGCGTGTGTCAGCGTATGATACAGAGAATATGCGGGGGTGACGAGTCTGCACGCTCTGTAATGACTATGCGTGTAGAAGCGTGGGCCCTTGGGGCGTGCGGAGCTGCCTCTCGCGCACAGGCCGCTTCGTGAGGTGCGTATATAGCGTGAGCCGTTGGGGGTTATGCAGAGAAGCTTCTCTGCACAGAGCGCTGCGGTGAGCATGAATGTATGATGTAAGACAAGGTGATCATATGCATGTCCGGATTGAAGTGCAACAGATGTTGAGAAACTTATGTGAGAGAAGAGCCTTAGCCACCACCAGAGTATTTGATAATTACCTCAGATTGAAGAGGGAGCGCTGAGCAGTCAGAATAGTGTCAGTGTTTAGTCTGATAGAGGATGAGGCAGGACCAAGCCGAGGACCATTGACCCATTTGCTGTAGGGAAGAGTGAGGAAGGCCCAGATGGCTGGCGTGCAGCGGCTATTCTAATCCAGCGGCCGGTATTGGAGAGTCGGGAGATCACAGGAGACCGGCCGGATTTATTAAATGGGCTTGGATGCATTGCGCAAACATGACGTAATTTGACAGAGAGAGAAATGGCAGCCCATCTGAATCTCCTCTCCGTGCATGGAGGAGAGTGCATTTCATCAGGTGTTTATCTGGACAGGGGAAAAATAATGCATAACGAAAGTGTGACGGCACCTTCCTTTTGGAGTGTTGAATGCAGGGATTATAGTGATGGGGTAATAAGTCCTTGGGGCCAGGGTGCAGCTAACCACTGGCCTTGATATGACCCCCAAAAACCCACGGACTGAGCCGCGTCCGTGAAAAAGAATAAGTAAGTGGAAGAGGCGGTGCCATCATGAAAGACACCGTTCCGGCAGGCAGCAGCTGAAGCTGAGGTCAGCGCAGCACCTGCGAACAGGAAAACAGGGTTGCAGAGCGCGCAGGAGCCTGGGGATGAACAACGGCCTGAGGGATGACGTGCACTGCGAGGTTGAGGCGGCCCAGCCGGAAGAGCAGCACCTGTTTGGGACGTGACAGAGGACAGGACGGACCAAGAGACCTTGGTCCTCCTCCTCCTATCCTCTCTCTCCATGTCCAAGCAGAGGGAGCGTTTACGAAACCGTCGATGAGGGTCATCACGTGTGCCGGGTGGCCAGTGTGACGGCCAGACGCCTGCCCGGCTTGAGATGGACGAGCCCCGCGTAGGAAGGGCATGCCCCGCGCGGGAATGACAGGGCCTATTGCTACGAGAATAATTCGCAAGGCGCGGCCGTGCAGCAAGAGCGCCCTGCAACATAAGGGAGAGATTAAACAAGAACCAACCGAATCTCCTTCTGGACAGGAGAGAGCTATCTTGATGCAATTAGGAAACTCAGAACGACGGCAAAGAGCGGCCACGGAGCAGAATAAGTACGAACCTGAGAACGAGCCTGAGAACGAGCAGTAGAGCGAGCAACCGTTACGATGACTCAGAGCCATGAGAGTGCGGCAGAGAGCATGTGACCGTTGTGGATGCTGCCCCCTGACTCCACGCGGAGAATCGGAGCGAGATCGCCCGTATGAGGCGCAGGGCGGATCGATTGCACGCGGTAGCAGTGAGGGAAGGCCAGAGCACGTGGAGGATCCGGAGGAAACCGGCCGGACGAGGGGAGAACATGCAAAACTCCGCACGGAGGTGGAACAAAGCATAAAACTAGTTTTGATAATCGACACCGACCTGCTCAGGACAAGATGAAACACACTGCTAATGACCTGGGGCAACGCGTCCCTTTGAGCAATATTTACTGTACGCGGAGGGGGCTCGAGGATTTCAGTACGAGGGCCACTTCGTCCGCCAGAGTAGTCCCGGGGCCGACACGTAGGCGAAACCGCATTGGACTGGTCCGAACTTCAGAACGAACTATAAAAGAGCTGAAGTTGGCTGAATGACGACCTCCTGGCGTCTCGCTAGCTACAGAAGCACCATTAGCGGAGATTCGAGCCCGACCGAGAACAACAACATCTCAGAACGGGTTACGACACGTCTATATTGGCTGCGCTGAAGTAGAATGGACGACACCGAATAAGTATTTACGAACCCAGATTACGACAGGTTAGCAGGCATAGGGCACCATGAAATGACAGGGAGGGCCACGATTGGCCCCTTGGCCTCAGTTGGAACAGGTTGTCTTTTAACGGAATAGCCCGACGACCAGCGAAGGCAACTCACATCATTCATTGCATAAGCATCTAATCATTATTACAATTAAACTACGGAAAGTTGACGAGAGCAGAGACAGCCGCAGCCCTGATGAGAACTGAGCGAAGCGAGCTTAAAACTATAAAACATATTACGCACACACATAAACTACGTACCTACAAATGCATGCACATATACAAGTTGAGTCCCTCCATGGCCTCGCACCAACATATAGTAGTGACATGTTAGTCCCCATATGAACCAGCCCGGACTCTGAGGAGCACAGGGACTGGACTCCTGCTGGGACTCTGAGGAGCACAGGGACTGGACTCCTGCTGGGACTCTGAGGAGCACAGGGACTGGCCTCCTGCTGGGACTCTGAGGAGCACAGGGACTGGCCTCCTGCTGGGACTCTGAGAAGCACAGGGACTGGCCTCCTGCTGGGACTCTGAGGAGCACAGGGACTGGCCTCCTGCTGGGACTCTGAGGAGCACAGGGACTGGCCTCCTGCTGGGACTCTGAGGAGCACAGGGACTGGCCTCCTGCTGGGACTCTGAGGAGCACAGGGACTGGCCTCCTGCTGGGACTCTGAGGAGCACAGGGACTGGACTCCTGCTGGGACTCTGAGGAGCACAGGGACTGGCCTCCTGCTGGGACTCTGAGGAGCACAGGGACTGGACTCCTGTTAGTGCCCAGAGTCAGAACTAACGTGGGGAGGCTGCCTTTCAGATTCATACTGCTAAAATCTGGAACAATCTTCCTGAAGATGTGAGACAGGCCTCCTCTCTGACAATGTTTAAGACAAGGTCAAAAACATATTATATATTTCTATCCTTCTTTTTAATGTTCTGTGAAATCTATGATTTTAATGCTTTCTTGTTTTGTTCAGCACTTTGAATTGCCTTGTGTATGAAGTGTGCTATACGAATAAACTTGCCATGCTTTGCTATACAACATGCATTCACATACGCAATTATGCGCGTGACAGGGCCATGACGCTAAACGCGCTTTCTTCACCTTATGGGAGCATCCAAATCAGACAGCGTCAAAACTGCAGATTCCTCTTCACCCTGAGCGACCAATATTACATTAGGCCTTTGTCTAGGGAGCAACCAAATCAGAGAGGCGCCAAAGCTGCAGATTCCTCTTCACCCTGAACGTGCAATATGTCGTTAAGCCTCGGAGACCGATACATTAAGCCTTAATACGAACAATTCGGGCCTTAGAAGGAGACTGATTAGGGAAGACTCCAAAATGTAATTTTGCATGCCACCAAGCACGCTGGAGTTTGAACTGTCTCACGGAGGAGACTTGAGCAGCAGTGACACGGAGCCTGGACGTGTTTAAGGAGCGGCGCCAATAAGCACTGACGAGCAGATCAGAGCGGGTCAAAGCAGGAACAGACCCCAAACAAACGATGGCCGTACAAACCCCAAACTACGTACCCCAAACCCCAAACAAACGATGGTCGTACGTGCCCGGGACGAGCACGTACGACGCAACCACACTGCGATTCATACGAACAAACAGACGTGTCACGCCAGCGTGCGCCGCTTGTCTCCGTGAGCCAGGTTACATACGTGTCTGAAAGAGCCGAGCCGTAGAGACAGGTGCAGCCTGGGAGCCTGCGGAGCGGCAGCGGCAGGAACAGCAGCAGCGGCAAATGTAGTAGGAGCAGCAGGAGCGGCAGCAGGAACAGGCAGCAGCAGGAGCGGCAGCAGGAACAGGCAGCAGCGGGAACAGGCATCAGTAGGAGCAGCAGGAGCAGGCAGCAGGGACAGGCAGCGGTAGGAGCAGCAGGAATGGCAGCAGCAGGAGCGGCAGCAGGAGCAGGCAGCGGGAACAGGCATCAGTAGGAGCAGCAAAAACGGGCAGCAGCAGCAGCGGGAACAGGCATCAGTAGCAGCAGCAGGAACGGGGAGCAGGCATCAGTAGGAGCAGCGCATCAGGGAACAGGCGGCAGCAGGAACAGGCATCAGTAGGAGCAGCACGGACCAGCAACAGCGGCGGTCAGAGAACCATGGCCATGGTTGTTTAAGAGCCTCAGGAAGCGTGGTTTGTCAGGAAGTGGCTGCCTTTTAAACTGCCCGCTTTGCTCTGAGAGGGTTGGCAGGAGGCTGGCCTGGCTGTGTGATTGGCTGAGGCTCGAGGCTGGCCTGGCTGTGTGATTGGCTGAGGCTCGAGGCTGGCAGGCACTCGGTCTTTCAGTCTGAACATGCGCATTCAGCTTCATTTTACAATTTGTGTTTTAACCCGGTCCAGGTAAGGACCGGCTGGTGTCTGCATCACCTTTCTGCCCCCCCCCCCCTCCTCATGGATTCCCCCATCACCTCTCTGCCCCCCCCCTCCTCATGGACTCCCCCATCACCTCTCTGCCCCCCCCTCCTCATGAACTCCCCCATCACCTCTCTGCCCCCCCCCCCCTCCTCATGGACTCCCCCATCACCTCCCTCCCCCCCTCCTGATGGACTCCCCCATCACCTCCCCCCCCCCCCTCCTGATGGACTCCCCCATCGCCTCCCCCCCCCCCCCCCCTCCTGATTAACTCCCCCATCACCTCCCTCCCCCCCTCCTGATGGACTCCCCCATCACCCCCCCCCCCTCCTGATTAACTCCCCCATCACCTCTCTGCCCTCCCTATCCTGATGGATTGATGGAGGCTAAAGAAAGAGTTTGTTTCAAGGAGAAGAAACACATTTAAGCTAAATAATAACAATGAGAATAAAGATACATTATTGTATTAATGACATTCTAGAAACCCCTTTGTTTCCATGGAAACCTTCATAGGCAGCAGACCCTTGTTTCCATGGTGACCCCTGTAGGAGCAGACTGGATCTAGAACCTCTGGTCTCCATGGTAACCTTTATGACACGTACGTCTTTCAGTGGCTTAGCCTCAGGTCCGGCCTTCAGAGGTAACACAGAAAGTAAGTTCAGTAAGTTCAGTAAGTAAGTAAGTCCAGAGGATACTGATCTGAGTAAGAATGAACATGGAGCAATCTTTTGATGACTTCTATGACCAGATAGTCCCAGACTGTCCACAGTTATTCACAACACAAAGAAGTCCCATCTATACAGAAGATGCATATGACCAACAGGAAGTGTGGTGGAGGAGGCCACAGGCTCCTAAAACACCAGACTACAGCTTTGATATCCGCTCTCACGACCAGAGCGGCCGCAACGAAGAGAGTGAGGACGTCCCCACGGACGGCATCCCCACAGACAACGTCCCCACAGACAACGTCCCCACAGACAACGTCCCCACAGACAACGTCCCCACAGACGACGCCCCACACACCGGGCGCCCCAAATATTTACCTGAAAGAGACCCTTTTTATGACCAGCCTGTGCTCCCGCTGCAGCCCACAGACTGGGGATACAGTCATAGGCCCAAACACAACAGTCCAGAGAAGACTCACACCAAGTCCACTGTAGACTCCTACAGTATCAGCGACATCACCGCCTCACCGCTGGAAAAGCCATTGTCTGTAATAACCCCAGAGTCAGTCGCTAATGAAGCTCCAACAGAAGCTAATATCCCAGTCAATACCACAGGCACAAGTCTCTGCTCAGAGGTAGTCCTGCAAACCCCGGAGAAGGTACGGACTCAAGAAAAGTGTTTTAGCAAGTCCCCCACCAACTCTATGGAGCGTTTGACTGAAAATATTCTGAAGCAGAGAGAGACACTCAGCGTCATGACCCAGGAGTCTAAACCTGTGTCTAAACCTGAGTCTGAACCTGAGTCTGAACCTGAGTCTGAACCTGAGTCTAAACCTGAGTCTGAACCTGAGTCTGAACCTGAGTCTAAACCTGAGTCTAAACCTGAGTCTGAACCTGAGTCTGAACCTGAGTCTAAACCTGAGTCTAAACCTGAGTCTGAACCTGAGTCTGAACCTGAGTCTAAACCTGAGTCTAAACCTGAGTCTGAACCTGAGTCTAAACCTGAGTCTAAACCTGAGTGTGAACCTGTGTCTAAACCTGAGTCTGAACCTGAGTGTGAACCTGTGTCTCAGCTCCAGTCTCAGCCGAAGTCTCAGCTCCAGTTTCAGCTCAAGGATCAGTCAGAGATTCAGAGTTTACTCTCCGACTCGAGTAGCCACCACTCAGAATATTCCTTTTCGGACGTCCCCATGATCTCTCCAAAGCAGTGGGAATGGATGGTGTTCAACACATCAAAGAAAGCCTTGACTGAGGAACTTGAGAAGGAAAAAGGGATTTTAGAGTCTCCAGAGACGGGGACGTCCACAGTGGATGTCCAGGGTCTAGAACCTTCCAGAAAAAGTCCTGAAACTAAGAAAAGGAAATCCAGGGTGAAAAAAGAGAGGACTCTAGGATCAATCCGTCCAAGGAGTCAAATCATGTTTCCTGAAATTGGTCCGAAGACAAAAGTCAGGAACATGGAGAGGATGTACCAACAGTTACCTCCCAACTCGGGCTTTGATATTGATGAGTCCATCAGTCCAGAGTCGGACTCCCCTCCTCTCCTTGACTGGGAATCAGTCCTTGGAATCCGCCCTAAATCTTGTAAAAAGAGGGAGGTTAAAAACTCAAAGTCAACTCTGAAATCACCAGAAACAAACTCTTCAAGACTAAATGAGGTCCGAGTGGAACCAGAGACCACAGAGAAAGAGCCCATGATCCTGAAACAACAGCAGGACATAGAGACTTTGACCAGCTCGAAAAAGTCTGACTCTAAACCCATAACCCTAACTGAGGTCCCAGTGAGACCAGACCTCGAGTTCTTGACTAGGATGAAAAAGTCCAAAGATACGTCTCTGACCCCCATTGAAGAACCAGAGACCACAGAGAAAGAGCCCATGGCCCTGAAACAACAGCAGAAAATAGAGACTTTGACCAGGTCGAAAAAGTCTGAAATCAAGCCGTCTAAAAATAGGGAGGCAACCGCCTCAAAGTTAACTCTGAAATCACCAGAAACAAACTCTTCAACACGTGTGAGAAAGAACAGAAAAAGGGAAGTTGAATCTTTTTCAAAAAGTCGATCCGAGGAGCATCAAGAGAGCGTCTCTGCCCAGGGATTCGAACCAACACACACTGTAGAAGAGTTGAGGAGCTCAGTCAGGTCCATGAGTCAAACAAAAGCATCAGAGGAGGCTCAGACACCAACTCCACAGAATCTGATTATCACAAGTAATTGTATGACCATAAATAATGTTGCAGGGACTGCCAACGCGTCCACTGAGAAATGGGCTTCAAAAACATTTGCTAAGACTCAGGAAAAGGACCCAAACTTCTCAACATACTCTTTAATCACGGAGAAGGACTTCATAACCCCAGACCAAAGTCAGGACCTACTTAAACAGTCCAAATCAGGGTCTACAAGACTGATAAATGTGGTCCCAGTGGAACCAAAGACCACAGAGAAAGAGCCCATGGCCCTGAAACAAAAGCAGGACAAAGAGACTTTGACCAGCTCGAAAAAATCAAAGTCTAAGCCCATAATCCTGAATGAGGTACCAGTGAGACCAGAGACCACAGAGAAGGATGTAGTGGCCCCGAAACAAATTCAGTACCACGGGTTCTTAACCAGGATGAAAAAGTCCAAAGATACGTCTCTGACCCCCGTTGAGGAACCAGAGACCACAGACAAAGACCCCATGGTCCTGAACTACAGTCAGGGCATGGAGTCCTTCACCAGGTTGAGAAGGTCTGAATCTACATCTTTAACTCTGATTGAGCTGAAACCAGAGAGCACAGAGAAAGAGGTGGTGGCCCTGAAACAAAGTCAGGACCTCAAGTCCTGCATCAGCTTGAAATCCTCCAAATCAAAGTCACGAACCCTCAATGAGACCAAGGAAGGGACAAAACAGGACCAAAATGAACACAAGTCCCAGACCGGCAACCTCAGGGGCACATTGCAAACCCCAAGTACAGAGCAAAGCACCTCTCAGAGTCTGGCAGAAGTCACTGCAGACGAGTGGGAATGGATGGTGTTCAACACATCAAAGAAAGTCTTCACTGAGGAACTTGAGAAGGAAAAAGGGATTTTAGAGTCTCCAGAGACGGGGACGTCCACAGTGGATGTCCAGCGTCTAGAACCTTCCAGAAAAAGTCCTGAAACTAAGAAAAGGAAATCCACGGTGAAAAAAGAGAGGACTCTAGGATCAATCCATCCAAGGAGTCAAATGATGTTTCCTGAAATTGGTCCGAAGACAAAAGTCAGGAACATGGAGAGGATGTACCAACAGTTACCTCCCAACTTGGGCTTTGATATTGATGAGTCCATCAGTCCAGAGTCGGACTCCCCTCCTCCCCTTGACTGGGAATCAGTTCTTGGAATCCGCCCTAAATCTTGTAAAAAGAGGGAGGTTAAAAACTCAAAGTCAACTCTGAAATCACCAGAAAAAAACTCTTTAAGACTAAATGAGGTCCCAGAGGAACCAAAGACCACAGAGAAAGAGCCCATGATCCTGAAACAACAGCAGGACATAGAGACTTTGACCAGCTCGAAAAAGTCTGACTCTAAACCCATAACCCTGAATGAGGTCCCAGTGAGACCAGACCTCGAGTTCTTGACTAGGATGAAAAAGTCCAAACATATGTCTCTGACCCCCATTGAAGAACCAGAGACCACAGAGAAAGAGCCCATGGCCGTGAAACAACAGCAGGACATAGAGAATTTGACCAGGTCGAAAAAGTCTGAATCCAAGCCGTCTAAAAAGAGGGAGGCAACCGCCTCAAAGTCAACTCTGAAATCACCAGAAACAAACTCTTCAACACGTGTGCGAAAGAACAGAAAAAGGGAAGTTGAATCTTTTTCAAAAAGTCGATCCGAGGAGCATCAAAAGAGCGTCTCTGCCCAGGGATTCGAACCAACACACACTGTAGAAGAGTTGAGGAGCTCAGTCAGGTCCATGAGTCAAACCAAAACATCAGAGGAGGCTCAGACACCAACTCCACAGAATCTGATTATCACAAGTAATTGTATGACCATAAATAATGTTGCAGGGACTGCCAACGCGTCCACTGAGAAATGGGCTTCAAAAACATTTGCTAAGACTCAGGAAAAGGACCCAAACTTTTCAACATACTCTTTAATCACAGAGAAGGACTTCATAACCCCAGACCAAAATCAGGACCTGTTTAAAAAGTCCAAATCAGGGTCTACAAGACTGATAAATGTGGTCCCAGTGGAACCAAAGACCACAGAGAAAGAGCCCATGGCCCTGAAACAAAAGCAGGACAAAGAGACTTTGACCAGCTTGAAAAAGTCAAAGTCTAAGCCCATAATCCTGTATGAGGTCCCAGTGAGACCAGAGACCACAGAGAAGGATGTAGTGGCCCCGAAACAAATTCAGTACCACGGGTTCTTGACCAGGATGAAAAAGTCCAAAGATACGTCTCTGACCCCCGTTGAGGAACCAGAGACCACAGACAAAGACCCCATGGTCCTGAACTACAGTCAGGGCATGGAGTCCTTCACCAGGTTGAGAAGGTCTGAATCTACATCTTTAACTCTGATTGAGCTGAAACCAGAGAGCACAGAGAAAGAGGTGGTGGCCCTGAAACAAAGTCAGGACCTCAAGTCCTGCATCAGCTTGAAATCCTCCAAAACAAAGTCACGAACCCTCAATGAGACCAAGGAAGAGACAAAACAGGACCAAAATGAACACAAGTCCCAGACCTGCAACCTCAGGGGCACATTGCAAACCCCAAGTACAGAGCAAAGCACCTCTCAGAGTCTGGCAGAAGTCACTGCAGATGCCAGACTTGTTCTGGAGGCAGTAGCACATTATGTGGGAGCCCTAAAAGAGGGTGAGGCCCAAGAGGCAAAGAGAAGCATGAACCAAGACTTTGATCATGCAGCCTCATCTATTGTTTCCCTCATTCTGGACAAGTCTTGCACCAAAAAGACCAAACGACAGGAGACCACTCATAAAATCAAGTCTGTCCTGGTCCTGTGTCGAGCTAAAACTAGACTCTACTCTGCATTGAGTCACTTGTGTCTCCAGATCCCAGGCACAAGAGACACTTTGTCAGTGCTGGAGATGATGGACGTAGTTTCTCCTCTTCTGCAAGAACTGGTTTCAGACGACACAGAGACGGACCTTTATGAGCGGCTGTCTCAGGGTTTGAGTGCAGGAAAGTACCAAGAGCTGAAAGACCAGATCACACGCACTGTTACTGAGAATCTGGCACCGCGGAAAGGACGCCGCAGTAGCCGCAGCAGCTGCAGGAGACTCGCAGAGGCTCACATTGAGTCTGTCATGGAGGACATCAGCACATGGCTTTGCCTCCAACTGCAGCAGGAGGATAACCCTGTCAAGACTAGTCTCCGAAAAATACGACGGATCTTAGCCTCAAAGACCCAGGACCAGGAGCAGGACCAGCAGGAAAACCTCTCCACGAGTCCAGATCCAGGACTAAAGGAAACAGCTGCGAGTGGAGCAGAGAGAGAAGTGAAGAGCAGCTTCTCCTCACAGCACTTTGCAAACACACAGACTGACACTGTGCGCTGGGGTGAGCTGCTGTATGAAGTGTCCTCTTTAGTCTTACGCTCCACAAACATGGACCAGGTGACAGCTTTTGGGAAAGAGTTGATGGAACTGTTGGAGCAGGAGAAGTCCTCATGGAACATCCAGGTGGAGCTGAACAAAGACAGTGTGGAGACCATTGCACAGGCCGTGTACAAAGACCTGTGCAGATGGAGAGGAAAGAGTGCGGTGAGTCAGAGCGCCCAGCTCCTGCCCGACTACAACATCCAGGTCCTTGAGAGCATCCGTCGACATGTGGAGAGGCCCCTGCAGAAGCGCACAGTGGGCTCAGTCTTCAGATCTGTGTGTAAGAGCTTCTGCTTTTGGTGCTAAGCCCAACTTTTCTAAGCTCTAAGCTCAGGAGCACAGCGGAGACCTTCATATCAGATGTTTACTTTGCCTTTGGACTCCTCAGCGGAGCTCGGACAAACACCCTGAGTGTGCATTAAGTCACTTTTCAGTTTGCCTTTGTTTTCTTCCCACGATGAGGGAGAAGCATGAATGAGTCCAATACAACTTTCCTTTGCATTTGAGCGACACAGAGGCCGGAGCATGACCATCAAAGCTACAGTCATGAAGTGACCTGTTAGTGATATGATCAGCATGACGTCTGCATGGACTGAGTTTACTTTGTAAATGTGGATATTCTCTGTGCTCTTTCCTGTTGGAGCTGGATCCAGCCGCACACAGCCGTCTTGTCCGTGTGTAAAACTATGGCAGGCTGCGGCAGTGGCAGAGCTGAGATACAGGATCAATATCCACAGCACCAATATCCAGGTTTGGGAAAGTGAATGCAGCCGTATGGGGCGGATGAGGATCATATACTCTGTACTTTTATGCTCTGTGGCTTTGCTCTTCATGGTCAGTGGGACTCAAACAAACACAGATGCACAAGTTTGATGGGACTTGTTGTCAGCATTCCCCCTCGAGAAGAAACACTCACTGATGGTCCAAGGCTTCTCCTGATGGTCCCTAAAGACTTTAGCCATCGCTAGTAACGCAAAACCAAACTTTGTGAAACCAGACCCACTTTTACAGAAACAAATAATTAGTTTGTGGCAACACATTTTAAAACCACGTTTATAGAAACACAGGACGGGGCCGCGGGGGAAACATCCTGCGAACACAAAGCAGAGACAAACATTCTTTATCAGAGGTTTACCAGATTTACTACAAAATTATTCATTCACAAATCTTTTCCCAATATTGCACAGTATTTAAACTTGAAGCCCCGCCCCCTGTGAGCATCATGTTTGTGCCACTGTCCTGTTGAAAGTAGCTTCATTAATCTGATGCTTGTTATAACTTTGTTTTTATGTTTTGATGATAAAACACAGTCCTCAAACTTTGTGTCTGTGGAGATTGTTACTTCACTTATTGGCCTGACGTTTGATTCATCTGCACTATGCAAATAAACATTAATCCTTTCTACGCTTTGGTTGTTTATCCTACTGTCTGCAACAATACAAGCTTTGGCCACTAGATGTCACCGATTAGACACGGATGATACGAACCACCATCAGTGATGCTTTAAGGACAACTAAAGCAAATCTACTTTTTTAACACAAAAACTGCAAAAATGCAAAAAAAAGTATTTAGTCAGCCTCTGATTGTGTAAGTTCTCCCACTTAAAATAATGACAGAGGTCTGTAATGTTCATCATAGGTTCACTTCAACTGTGAGAGACAGAATGTGAAAAAAACATCCAGGAATTCACATTGTAGGATTTTTAAATTTATTTGTAAATGATGGTGGAAAATAAGTATTTGGTCACTTCAAACAAGGAAGACCTGTGGCTCTCACAGACCTGTAACTTCTTCTTTAAGAAGCTCTTCTGTCCTCCACTCGTTACCTGTATTAATGGCACCTGTTTGAACTCATCTGTATAAAAGACATCTGTCCACAGCCTCAAACAGTCAGACTCCAAACTCCACTATGGCCAGGACCAAAGAGCTGTCAAAGGACACCAGGAAAAGGATTGTAGACCTGCACCAGACTGGGAAGAGTGAATCTACAATAGGCAAGCAGCTTGGTGTGAACAAATCAACTGTGGGAGCAATTATCAGAAAATGGAAGACATAAAAGACCACTGATAATCTCCCTCGATCTGGGGCTCCACGCAAGATCTCATCCCGTGGGGTCAAAATGATCATGAGAACGGTGATCCCAGAACCACACGGGGGGACCTGGTGAATGACCTGCAGAGAGCTGCACTAGACCCATGTTTTGACAGTGTCTCAGATGTATTTAGGTCTGTGCTCACCCATCGTGTTACCCTGGTTTTAACACACCATGGTACTCATTTCATTAGTACTAAGGTCTGGATTTTCTCCATTGACTCCGTTAACAGGTGGGAGGGGTTAACTCCTTTTGCAGATTGAAACCATCGAATCTGAGATTACTGTGACGTATGTAATGAGCCAGAGTGAGAGAGGCATTTAGCCTAGCTTTAGCCATCTCCTTTGGCACTAACGGAGCCCGTCGGGAGTAGAGCAATGACATTTGCCAAACATTCCTCTTGATCCGGCTTCAAACTCCTGATATTTGGAAATGAACCAGAACAGATTATTTTACTATCGCATTCCCCACTAAACTACAACCAGCAAAATGTGTGCAAACTCTTGATGACACCGACACCGACCTACAACACCCCCGCCTCCCCCGCTTTCTGATTGGTCGAAGGGGATTTAATTCAATTCAATTTATTCTTGTATAGCCCTACATCACAGCACTAGTTTTCTCAGAGGACTTAACAAAGCCGTTCAAAAGGCCAACACAGATCAGAGAATCAAGGGGGTCCATAGGGAGAGAACACATGGTATTGGTCCATAAAGAGAGACCAAAGTCCATAAATGTTGATATCATACATGTTGTAGAATGTTAAAGTGTCCTGGATCCTCACAGTCCTTTTAGTCAGACACTAACTGTCACTGACTCCTGCATCAGAGGAAAAACTCCAAAACCCAGTGGGAGAAAAGTGAGAAACCTCGGGGTGACCCACATTGAGAGAGGGATCCACTCCACACAGACGGACTGTAGACCCAGGACCTAAGCTACAGAACGAGGACAGGTGTGGCCCACAAGGCAGGACTAACGGATAAAATAGGATAGTGAGAGGATAGTGCTCAAGTGACCATACTCCTCCCAGCAAACTGACTCCATACTAAGATTAAGAGATTAAAGCCGCATTACCTGACTTTATTTTTGTATTCTTTATGAAAATGAAATCCATATCCATGCAGTGCATTGGGATATACGTCTTTTTGAAGAAAAAGTAGTTCAGATTTGTCCTAGATCGAGTTTTGATGAAACAAGGAAGAGAATGTGTTTCGGGTCCAGATTGTGACCAATCACAGCGGACCACTGGCCCCCACTTTCTTGAGAAAAGCCACAGGTCTGTGGTTAGCACAGACAGCTGAGGTAAACAAGCGGCGGAGGCTAACCTGAAGCTTCCCGTGTCTTCGTTACCGGTTTCTGCTTACTCTGAAAAACAGACAATCCACGTGCAAATGTGCGATCCATATTGTGAGACGTGAACTCTATATACAGATGTAACCCACATTAAAAATGGGTTCTGTGTAAAAATAAAACGTTTAATATATTTAATTCTCCGCGCTCCTGTTCACTATCGCGAGAACTGCCTCAGCCAATCAAATTGGCCGTAGCGCGTGATACAAGCCGCTTGCGCTTCTCCCTGTCACACACGGGAGGGAGACGCAACCGGACAGCTGCACAGGTAAACTTCAGCGAAACTTCAAATGCTAATTCTTGCTCATATGAAGGCATCCATGCCAGATATTCATGTATTGCTTTTGTAGGAGCCCCACCATCGCTTCACATTCGTAACAACCATTGGGCATTCATTATAAGGGGGAATTGATGAGTTTGAAGCTGTTGTTTACTACTTAGCATCTGTGGTAGCCACCAGATGTAGCATTGTCATTTTGATGCACTAGTGTATTAATATGACCATGATGTTTCATGAATCGGATAATCTGATTTATATCCTATTGAGTATTTTGAGTGTCATATATTGTTGTAGTTGTTACTGTCTACATTGAATGCTATGCACTTTGAGACTGTCTATGTATTTATACATTGCCTAATGAAGAGGAAACTTATTTCCTAATGCCATTTAATGTGTTTTGATCATGTGTACACTGTGCTAAATTATGAGCTAGCTTCTGAATGATTTTGTTTAAAACATAGTCTTGTTGTTTTAATGCAGGCCATTTTTGTGTCTGGGTAAGACACCACCCTGAATCCGATGGCGAGCTAGACCCAGAACCTGTCAACCAACATCCTCCTGCGGTCAGGGTAGGAGGCTGTTGCAGTCCGTCCACTCCCACACTCACACACACACCTGTCGCAATAACCGTTGGATTATCAATGCAAGGACACTCCATAACAATGAACATTTAAGCCCACATCGTTGTGGCACCCCACTACATGGTTCTGTGTGTGTGTGTGATTGTCACGACCTGTGACCCATGGTTGGGAACCATTCTGGACATTTTTTAAAAGTACTGCTGCTGTATTGTTGTGTTGTTGAACTGTTGATCTGCAGAACTGTATATATATTTGCACTAAATGTTGTTTGTTTTTCACTGTAAATACATGGCACCCGCCGGTAACCAGTCTGTCTCTTGAGTGTAATATTACTTGCCTCACACCTCCCAGAGAGCCGTATCTAGTCTTCTGATCTAGTCCAACGAACCCATTTTTTCCTATACTGTCCTATCCCTGGCATAACGTTACTCTTATATGCTACACATGCGAGCACAGGCTAAGGGGGAGGGGTGTAGTGGGGGCGAAAGCTCCGTGGGTGCGGGGAGGGCGAACAGAAAGAGCGAGGCCAGCGCTCAGATTCAAAAATTTCTCAAAGTCAGTTAGTACAGCTTTAAGAGTTCCACTGCCGCCGATATCTTTTACACTCTTTAGGACCCAGCAGACTCTGGTGTTCTGACTCTTTAGGACCCAGCAGACTCTGGTGTTCTGACTCTTTAGGACCCAGCAGACTCTGGTGTTCTGACTCTTTAGGACCCAGCAGACTCTGGTGTTCTGACTCTTTAGGACCCAGCAGACTCTGGTGTTCTGACTCTTTAGGACCCAGCAGACTCTGGTGTTCTGACTCTTTAGGACCCAGCAGACTCTGGTGTTCTGACTCTTTAAGACCCAGCAGACTCTGGTGTTCTGACTCTTTAGGACCCAGCAGACTCTGGTGTTCTGACTCTTTAAGACCCAGCAGACTCTGGTGTTCTGACTCTTTAGGACCCAGCAGACTCTGGTGTTCTGACTCTTTAGGACCCAGCAGACTCTGGTGTTCTGACTCTTTAAGACCCAGCAGACTCTGGTGTTCTGACTCTTTAGGACCCAGCAGACTCTGGTGTTCTGACTCTTTAGGACCCAGCAGACTCTGGTGTTCTGACTCTTTAAGACCCAGCAGACTCTGGTGTTCTGACTCTTTAGGCAAGGCAGGGCAAGGCAAGTTTATTTGTATAGCACAATTTATACACAAGGCAACTCAAAGTGCTGAACAAGATAGCATTAAAATCATAAATAATCACAGAACATTAAAACGAAAGATAAAAATATAAAATCCCTCAGTTGTATGCACAGCTAAACAGCACCGTTTTTAACCTGGTTTTAAACATTGTCAGAGAGGAGGCCTGTCTCACATCTTCAGGAAGATTGTTCCAGATTTTAGCAGCATGAATCTGAAAAGCAGCCTCCCCATGTTTAGTTCTGACTCTGGGCACTAACAGGAGTCCAGCCCCTGTGCTCCTCAGAGTCCGGGCTGGTTCATATGGGACTAACATGTCGCTAATATATTTTAGGACCCAGCAGACTCTGGTGTTCTGACTCTTTAAGACCCAGCAGACTCTGGTGTTCTGACTCTTTAGGACCCAGCAGACTCTGGTGTTCTGACTCTTTAGGACCCAGCAGACTCTGGTGTTCTGACTCTTTAAGACCCAGCAGACTCTGGTGTTCTGACTCTTTAGGACCCAGCAGACTCTGGTGTTCTGACTCTTTAAGACCCAGCAGACTCTGGTGTTCTGACTCTTTAGGACCCAGCAGACTCTGGTGTTCTGACTCTTTAGGACCCAGCAGACTCTGGTGTTCTGACTCTTTAGGACCCAGCAGACTCTGGTGTTCTGACTCTTTAAGACCCAGCAGACTCTGGTGTTCTGACTCTTTAAGACCCAGCAGATAGATTCAGATTCAGTTTATTTGCCATTTGCAGTAAAAAAACCCACATTGGAATACCAATGTGGGTAAATATAGGGGAAGACCCAGGACACGCTGGAGGGACTATGTCTCTCAGCTGGCCTGGGAACGCCTTGGGGTCCCCCCGGACGAGCTGGAGGAGGTGTGTGTGGATAGGGAAGTCTGGGCGTCTCTGCTTAGACTGCTGCCCCCGCGACCCGGCAACGGATAAAGCGGAAGAAAATGGATGGATGGATGGAATACATTAGCAAAAGTCTCCAGTGTGCACAGACAAATACAGACATAAAACAACATTAAAAGACAGAAATAAAACAAATAAAACAGTAAACAAATGTCACTGTGAAATCGATCGACTAAAACAGTTCAAAACAAGTGCAAATCATTAAAGTGCTCTGTTCACACTGATAACAGCCTGTGGATAAAAACTGTTAGCGTAACGAGATGTCCTGCATCTCAGAGAGCGATATCTTCTGCCAGAGGGAAGAAGCTGGAACATGGCTTTCCCAGGGTGGCCAGAAGAGTCATTAATAATCCTAAGAGCTTTGTTTAAAAGTCTGGATTTATAAAGAACCTCCAGAACAGGAAGCTCACAGCCCACGGTCCTCTTTGCAGAGCGGAGCACCTTGTTTAAAGCTCTCTTTTCTTTATCTGTGATGTTTCCAAACCACACAGACACAGAACCAACAAGTAAACTCTCAATGGTGCAGCCATAAAAGTTAAGCACAATCTTAGAGTTAGTGGTAAATTCTCTAAGTTTACGCAGAAAGTAGAGACGCTGACGAGCTTTCTTAACGACCCGGTCAGTGTTTTTAACCCATTTCAGGTTAGACAGAGTTAGACCCAGAAACTTGCTCCTCTACGATCTGCACCTGGGAGTTGTCGATTACGACAGGCAAATGAGAACTATTGCGACTGAAGTCGTGACCAGTTCACATGTTTTGGATGCGTTCAACTAGAGGTTGTTAGTTTGACTCCACTGAACCACATTTTGTATCTCTGCTCTATAAGAGGATTCATCAGTGTCACTGATGAGACCGATGATGGTGGTGTCATCAGCATATTGATCAAGTTTGAGTCAGAGGAGGACACACAATCGTGAGTGTACAAAGTAAAAAGCAAAGGACTCAAAATACATCCCTGAGGAGAACCAGTGCTCACAGAAACAACATCAGAAAAACAGTCATTGATTTTCACTCTCTGAGATCTGTCAGTTAAAAAGCTAAAAATCCATTTACACATGGCAACACTTAAACCCAGAGACATGAGCTTTTCAATCAGTTTACCTGGGACAAGGCAGTTAAAAGCAGAGCTATAATCGATGAAAAGCATTCTGGCCACAGATTTACTAGTGTCCAAGTGACTGTAGACAGAGTTCAGAGCAAAGGAGATGGCATCCTCCACACTCCTGTTCTGTCTGTAGCAAACTGGAGCGGGTCAACACTCACAGGGATCTGGCTCTTAATGAAGTCCAGCACAAGCCGCTCAAAAGTTTTCATAAGAACAGACGTGAGGGCCACAGGACGATAGTCATTCAGGCATGTCACAGGAGTTTTCTTAGGAACTGGAATGATGGTGGACTCTTTAAAGCAGTTCGGCACAGTACAGTTCCTTAGCGACAGGTTAAAGATGTCTGTTAGCACAGGGGCAAGTTGCTCAAAGCACAGTTTCAGGACACGAGGAGGGATGCCGTCCGGGCCTGGGGCTTTCCGGACTGTGGTCCTGGACAAGACACGCCTGACTTCCTCCTGAGTCACGGTGAAGGTACCTTGATTGAAACACTCAGGGAATACAGTAGGACAGGCATCAGCGGATTCAAAGCGACAGTAGAACGTGTTCAGCTCGTTTGGCAGAGCTTGGCCGACAGATGCAGTTTTCCCAGCACTAGGTTTCCACGATGTGATGGCTTTAATACCGTTCCACATGCGCCGAGGGTCATCTTCCTCAAAATAACTCTTTAACCTGTCCCCGTAACTGCGCTTTGCAGATTTAATAGAGCGTTTGAATGAGTAACAGGAGAACTTGTAAGCAGCTGTATCATTTGATTGAAACGCTAAAGTTTTAACTAAAATGATCTCCTTCTGTGGGACACAGCAGTCAATACAGAAGCGTATGTATCCAGACACAGCGTCACAGAATTCATTAACGTCATCTGACTCTGGTGTTCTGACTCTTTAGGACCCAGCAGACTCTGGTGTTCTGACTCTTTAGGACCCAGCAGACTCTGGTGTTTTTACTCTTTAGGACCCAGCAGACTCTGGTGTTCTGACTCTTTAGGACCCAGCAGACTCTGGTGTTCTGACTCTTTAGGACCCAGCAGACTCTGGTGTTTTTACTCTTTAGGACCCAGCAGACTCTGGTGTTCTGACTCTTTAAGACCCAGCAGACTCTGGCCTTTTGCGATCACAGTGCTCAGTTTGGTTGGTTTGACACCAGCATGTCTTGAAGATTAGAAGGATAATCCGTGCTAACCCACAGTGCTAACCCACAGTGCTAACCCACGGATAGTTGATTTAATTCATTCAGACACTTGCACATGTCGCTCGTGTGTTATGGCAACAATGAAAACCAATAATGCATCATGTTTATTGTTTTAATGATTTCCAACACTACACTACGCCCAGGCCCTGCGGCCGCTGCATCAGTCGGGGTCTCCTCTTCTTCACTTGCATCAGTCGGGGTCTCTTCTTCACTTGCATCAGTCGGGGTCTCTTCTTCTTCACTTGCATCAGTCGGGGTCTCCTCTTCTTCACTTGCATCAGTCGGGGTCTCCTCTTCTTCACTTGCATCAGTCGGGGTCTCTTCTTCACTTGCATCAGTCGGGGTCTCTTCTTCTTCACTTGCATCAGTCGGGGTCTCTTCTTCTTCACTAGCATCAGTCAAGGTCTCTTCTTCTTCACTTGCATCAGTCGGGGTCTCTTCTTCTTCACTTGCATCAGTCGGGGTCTCCTCTTCTTCACTTGCATCAGTCGGGGTCTCCTCTTCTTCACTTGCATCAGTCGGGGTCTCTTCTTCTTCACTTGCATCAGTCGGGGTCTCCTCTTCTTCACTTGCATCAGTCGGGGTCTCTTCTTCTTCACTAGCATCAGTCAAGGTCTCTTCTTCTTCACTTGCAGTTGCAGCCGAAGCGCACACGGTAGTCCTTGCAGCGCTGACTCCTGCTGTTCCTGCAGACCAGGCCCTGAGTCGGGTTGAAACTGCACAGAAGCAAAAAGTCCATGACATATACATAGAACATGTTTATCTTTGGGTGACACTTTTGTGGAATGGGCTGAGTGAATTTCAAGCTTTGGAATGTTGTTTACGTTATCATTTTAATAAGGGGGTCGTACGCAGATGCTCCCAGGCTCTTAGTCAACGCCACTGTTTCCTTGACCTCTGTGGCTTCTTCCTGTCGTGTGACTGTTGACATGCAAATACCAAGGGTCTCACTTTGAGACTGTATGACTGTGTGTGGAGGTGTGTCAAATCTACTATAAAACGACCCTGCTGCTGTTTCAAGGCAGACATGTTCTGGACAGAGGCCGAGCTTCTTTGTGCTCGGTTCTCTGGAGTCATGGGTCCTTGAAAGGCAACCAAGTAATCAAAGAATGACAGAAAGTTGCCGTTTTGTTTTTGTGCAATTCTTTGCAGGTTCTACTGTAGTTAAATATCAGCACCAACAGTGACGCAACCAGTGGGGGCAGGTCCCGGCTCAAAAACCCTGACATGTTGCAATCTCACTCCTAGCCAGTAGGGGTGCACCTGGAATGAGAATTACCCAATGCTTTTGTATGGCACCTTCCTTCCTCTCTCAAACAGCTTTACTCAATGGTTCAAAAGTGGCTCTTGGTTCAAAAGTGGCTCTTGGTTCAAAAGTGGCTCTTGGTTCAAAAGTGGCTCTTGGTCCAAAAGTGGCTCTTGGTCCAAAAGTGGTTCTTGGTCCAAAAGTGGCTCTTGGTCCAAAAGTGGCTCTTGGTCCAAAAGTGGCTCTTGGTCAAAAAGTCTCTCTTGGTCCAAAAGTGGCTCTTGGTCCAAAAGTGGCTCTTGGTCCAAAAGTGGCTCTTGGTCCAAAAGTCTCTCTTGGTCCAAAAGTGGCTCTTGGTCCAAAAGTCTCTCTTGGTCCAAAAGTGGCTCTTGGTCCATAAGTAGTTCTTGGTCCAAAAGTCTCTCTTGGTCCAAAAGTCTCTCTTGGTCCAAAAGTGGCTCTTGGTCCAAAGGTGGCTCTTGGTCCAAAAGTGGCTCTTGGTCCAAAAGTCTCTCTTGGTCCATAAGTAGTTCTTGGTCCAAAAGTCTCTCTTGGTCCAAAAGTCTCTCTTGGTCCAAAAGTAGTTCTTGGTCCAAAAGTCTCTCTTGGTCCAAAAGTAGTTCTTGGTCCAAAAGTCTCTCTTGGTCCATAAGTAGTTCTTGGTCCAAAAGTCTCTCTTGGTCCAAAAGTGGCTCTTGGTCCAAAAGTCTCTCTGGGTCCATAAGTAGTTCTTGGTCCCCTTGGTTCCAGATGCTGTCTGAGGGGAGTATATTGTATTGAACCAGTCCAGTTTAGTCGCTGTGGACTTCAGAATGCTCTCGTCACGATATGCGTCCTTTTGAAGAATAAGTAGCGCAGGTTTGTACTGGAGTGTAATTTTATTTTTGATCTGGTTTTTGCACATTTATTACGGGACCAGATTGTGACCAATCACAGCGGACCACTGGCCCCCACTTTCTTGAGAAAATGTACTGGTTTCTGGTTAGCACAGACAGCTAAACAAGCATCATGGCGGAGGTGAACCTGAATCTTGTCTTGGATACCGGTTACTGCTTACTCAGCCAAACAGCCAAAAGAAAATCCCTATAAGAACAGAGAGAGGCCAAGAGTTTGAAGCACCGGGAGAGTCGTCACAGGCGGTCGTTTCCCCGGATGGAAGTGCCTGAAGAAAACACTCTGATTGACGAGGGACGTGATCTTATGAAAATTTTATTAGAAGGAAGTTGGTCATTTTATTTCAAACATATGATCTCTGTGACCGCTGTCCCGTCCTAAGCGCTTTCCGGTTCTATAATTCTACGGTGACGCCATCCACGTTCAAAAGAGCGATACATATTGCAGCACGGTGGCTGGTGCTATATAAATAAAGATTATTTACTTACTTACTTTTGCAAAACTGGGAGGCGCGGTGGACGAGACTACTTTAGGACTGGGGCATCCAATCGTATGAGGAACAAAAAATGAAGCTGAAAGCGCTAATTCAGCCTCATTCAGCCTCAGCCAATCACAGAGCTCTGCCAGCCTCCAGCCTCAGCCAATCACAGAGCTCTGCCAGCCTCAGCCAATCACAGAGCTCTGCCAGCCTCCAGCCTCAGCAAAAGCTTTGTGGGTGTGGTGGAGGGGGGGCTTTGAAACCACTGCTTCAAAGTCATAAAGTGAGTGAGTCCATCTTTTAAACCCTGGGCTCCAGTCCATTGTGTTTGTGTGTCTGCTTCGTGGTGGTTTGAGTTTGTAGTTATGTTACAGCCCAGATTTTTTTACTTTGTGTGTATTAAAGACCTTATGACGGGTTTTTAAAAAAAAAATAGTGGATATCAAAATTGCATGACAATGTCAATCTGAAAGAGATTCCGGCAAAAATAATCCTATATTTTATAAAAAGAACGTGTTTTTCATGAATTTAAGTTGTCTATGCTCTAACCTGTGTGTGACGTCACAGCGGGTTACGCCCATGCATTGAAAACCATGGATCTATGCCACAGGACTGCCTTTTCTCTCTTCTCTCCACTGATGCCCAACACAATACTGCCCTCTACAGGTGACAATTGCTCACTACACATAAATTGCCGTTTTGAGAGTGAAAAAGTGTCGGAGCTGGGATTTGAACCCAAGTATCTGGATTGACAGTCCATCGACACAACCACTGGACTATCTCAGTGACAACGAAGAGTTACAATCTAGTACTAATCTAAGACTCGCTGTACACGGCCTTGTCATCTTGAATATCCGTGAAAAAAGAACGAATACCAAATTGTAAACAACTTACAGCGTTGAAACGTACCCACTCTGACGTCACCAAGGGCTGTGAAGTTTTTCCGTCTCTAAGGGCGTTGCTATGGGGTTATTTCGATTTGGGGGGATCAGACAAAAAAAACAACAACTGATTTTGAAACCTTTAGTAGTTCTCTTCTAATATAAAATGGTATTAAAACTGTATTTCTAAATAAATCAAACCCGTCATAAGGTCTTTAAATCTTTTTGGTAATGTTCCATTCTGGGTCGTCTTTCTGCCTCTGCTCTGTGTCTTACAGTTGAAAGGTCTGTCCGCTGAGCTCCGCCGGGATGCGGCCGTGCACGGTCTCTGCTTGGATCTTGAGGGGCTTCCTGCAGATCACTCCGGGGTAACGCCGTCGCAGCCTCCTCAACGTCTCATAGTCTCCTCGTCTCTGGGGGCGGTCGCCGTTCAGCCACCTGGTCCAGCAGACTGCAACGCAAGAAGCCGTCAGCACCAGCGCCGCTCACGTCATCATCAGCTGTAGTCTGTTCATTGCTATTCACCCACTGTCCGATTGTCGGTTTCTCCTGGCTTCTTCTATCTGCACCTGGGTCTACAGCCTCAGTCCTGGGTCTACAGCCTCAGTCCTGGGTCTACAGCCTCAGTCCTGGGTCTACAGCTTCAGTCCTGGGTCTACAGCCTCAGTCCTGGGTCTACAGCCTCAGTCCTGGGTCTACAGCCTGCATCTACAGCCTCAGTCCTGGGTCTACAGCTTCAGTCCTGGGTCTACAGCCTCAGTCCTGGGTCTACAACCTCAGTCCTGGGTCTACAGCCTCAGTCCTGTATCTACAGCCTCAGTCCTGTATCTACAGCCTCAGTCCTGGGTCTACAGCCTCAGTCCTGGATCTACAGCCTCAGTCCTGGGTCTACAGCCTCAGTCCTGGATCTACAGCTTCAGTCCTGGGTCTACAGCCTCAGTCCTGGGTCTACAACCTCAGTCCTGGGTCTACATCCTCAGTCCTGGGTCTACAGCCTCAGTCCTGGATCTACAGCCTCAGTCCTGGATCTACAGCCTCAATCCTGGGTCTACAGCCTCAATCCTGGGTCTACAGCCTCAGTCCTGGGTCTACAACCTCAGTCCTGGGTCTACATACCTTTCTGGGCGCAGTACGGCTTGTAGCAGGCGAAGCGGACGCGGTAGTCGTGGCACTTCCTCCCCCAGCGCTGTTCCCGGTTTATGCAGGAGAAGCCAGTCCGTGTGTTCGTACTGAAAATTAGGAGAAGGAGACATTACGACAGAGGGAGCGTTTGAAGCAGTGGGACCAGTTAACCCTTTCCTGGTCTTTTTCTCAGAACAAACAACTTGCCTTATAGTTTTGGCCTCTGATGTCTCCCATTGATCATTTGAGCAGAGAGTAATCAAAAACCAAAGTTTGACCAGACAGTGGTTTGTTTTGGCACATTTACAGAGAGTAGGACTCTCATAAAGGATCTTTATCTTACGACCTGAGGCCTCCTGCTGAGCGTTTGAAACGGAACAGCAGCATGTAGAGTGTGAAAAGAAGCGGTCCGAGTACTGATCCTTGTGGCACCCCAAATTATAAAAACAGTTGTTTTTATGATCCAAACTATCTCTTTTTTGAAATGACCGGATTCCCTCTTTACGCCTCGGCCATCTGACACAGTAGCACTAGTCTGGTTGTACCAAACTATCGTACACATTTAATTTCGTACTAAAGTCTGGATTTGCTCCATTGACAGGTGGGAGGGGTAGGTCACGGTACGTTATATTTCTGTATGGCCAAGTTCTGCTAATATTTCAATCCCCACGTGCCCTACTGAGCAGAAGCCACTGATTTCAATAGGCCGCCATCTTGGCTGCAGTAGTATGTTCTATGTCTATGTTGAGGTCTGTACCATGGGAGAGACTCTTAGGGACTCACTAGACTCTGTTTCGGGCACTCTTGGCGGTAAGGCCCCTCAGGGTCCGGGCCTGGATGTCCACAGGATGTCGGCACATCTCTTTCGGATGTTTCCTCTTGATATTCCGGATCCATTCGAAGTCTCCATTTCCGGACGGGTTATCAATGTCGAACCACCGCGTCCAGCAGACTGAGGATCACAGGGACACTGAGGGTCACAGGGACTCTGAGGAACACTGAGAAACACTGAGGGTCACAGGGACTCTGAGGAACACTGAGAAACACTGAGGGTCACAGGGACTCTGAGGAACACTGAGGATCACAGGGACACTGAGGGTCACAGGGACTCTGAGGAACACTGAGAAACACTGAGGGTCACAGGGACTCTGAGGAACACTGAGAAACACTGAGGGTCACAGGGACTCTGAGGAACACTGAGAAACACTGAGGATCACAGGGACACTGAGGGTCACAGGGACTCTGAGGAACACTGAGGATCACAGGGACACTGAGGGTCACAGGGACTCTGAGGAACACTGAGAAACACTGAGGGTCACAGGGACTCTGAGGAACACTGAGAAACACTGAGGGTCACAGGGACTCTGAGGAACACTGAGAAACACTGAGGGTCACAGGGACTCTGAGGAACACTGAGAAACACTGAGGATCACAGGGACTCTGAGGAACACTGAGAAACACTGAGGGTCACAGGGACTCTGAGGAACACTGAGGATCACAGGGACACTGAGGGTCACAGGGACTCTGAGGAACACTGAGAAACACTGAGGATCACAGGGACTCTGGGGAACACTGAGAAACACTGAGGATCACAGGGACTCTGGGGAACACTGAGAAACACTGAGGATCACAGGGACTCTGGGGAACACTGAGAAACACTGAGGATCACAGGGACTCTGGGGAACACTGAGAAACACTGATGATCACAGGGATTCTGGGGAACACTGAGAAACACTAAGGATCACAGGGACACAGAGGATCACAGGGACTCTGGGGAACACTGAGAAACACTGAGGATCACAGGGATTCTGGGGAACACTGAGAAACACTAAGGATCACAGGGACACAGAGGATCACAGGGACTCTGGGGAACACTGAGGATCACAGGGACACTGAGGATCACAGGGACTCTGGGGAACACTGAGAAACACTGTGGATCACAGGGACTCTGAGGAACACTGAGAAACACTGAGGATCACAGGGACTCTGAGGAACACTGAGAAACACTGAGGATCACAGGGACTCTGGGGAACACTGAGAAACACTGAGGATCACAGGGACTCTGAGGAACACTGAGAAACACTGAGGATCACAGGGACTCTGGGGAACACTGAGAAACACTGAGGATCACAGGGACTCTGGGGAACACTGAGAAACACTGATGATCACAGGGATTCTGGGGAACACTGAGAAACACTAAGGATCACAGGGACACAGAGGATCACAGGGACTCTGGGCAACACTGAGGATCACAGGGACTCTGGGGAACACTGAGAAACACTGTGGATCACAGGGACTCTGGGGAACACTGAGAAACACTGTGGATCACAGGGACTCTGAGGAACACTGAGAAACACTGAGGGTCACAGGGACTCTGAGGAACACTGAGAAACACTGAGGATCACAGGGACACTGAGGAACACTGAGAAACACTGTGGATCACAGGGACTCTGAGGAACACTGAGAAACACTGAGGATCACAGGGACTCTGAGGAACACTGAGAAACACTGAGGGTCACAGGGACTCTGAGGAACACTGAGAAACACTGTGGATCACAGGGACTCTGAGGAACACTGAGAAACACTGAGGATCACAGGGACTCTGAGGAACACTGAGAAACACTGAGGGTCACAGGGACTCTGAGGAACACTGAGAAACACTGAGGGTCACAGGGACTCTGAGGAACACTGAGAAACACTGAGGGTCACAGGGACTCTGAGGAACACTGAGAAACACTGAGGGTCACAGGGACTCTGGGGAACACTGAGAAACACTGATGATCACAGGGATTCTGGGGAACACTGAGAAACACTAAGGATCACAGGGACACAGAGGATCACAGGGACTCTGGGCAACACTGAGGATCACAGGGATTCTGGGGAACACTGAGAAACACTAAGGATCACAGGGACACTGAGGATCACAGGGACTCTGGGGAACACTGAGAAACACTGTGGATCACAGGGACTCTGAGGAACACTGAGAAACACTGAGGATCACAGGGACTCTGAGGAACACTGAGAAACACTGTGGATCACGGGGACTCTGAGGAACACTGAGAAACACTGAGGATCACAGGGACACAGAGGAACACTGAGAAACACTGATGATCACAGGGACACAGAGGAACACTGAGAAACACTGAGGATCACAGGGACACAGAGGAACACTGAGAAACACTGAGGATCACAGGGACTCTGAGGAACACTGAGAAACACTGAGGATCACAGGGACTCTGAGGAACACTGAGAAACACTGAGGATCACAGGGACTCTGGGGAACACTGAGAAACACTGAGGATCACAGGGACTCTGAGGAACTCTGTTTTAACAAACCAGTGTGGAGCAAACACTTACTTTCCTTTGGGGGTCCACAGGGACGCACCGCTGGGGACACACAACACGGGAAAACTCAGTACTTTAGTAGTAGCAGTAGTTGTAGCAGTATTTGCAGTAGCAGTAGTTGTAGCAGTATTTACAGTAGCAGTAGTAGTAGCAGCAGTATTAGCAGTAGCAGTAGCAGCAGTAGCAGCAGTAGCAGTAGTAGCAGCAGTATTAGCAGTAGCAGTAGCAGTAGTAGCAGCAGTATTAGCAGTAGCAGTAGTTGTAGCAGTATTTGCAGTAGCAGTAGTAGTAGCAGTAGCAGTAGCAGCAGTATTTGCAGTAGTAGTAGCAGTAGCAGTAGCAGTAGTAGTAGCAGTAGCAGTAGCAGCAGTATTAGCAGTAGCAGTAGCAGTAGTAGCATGCTCCAGCAAATACAGGTGAGTTCTGATAATCTTTAGGCGCCCGTGGAGGCAAATGCGCCACTGAGCACAAACCATTCATTTGAATACAGCGCCATCTTGGATCGCCAAGCTTGCTTCCTGGTCTGTGACTTCCTGGTCTGTGACTTCCTGGTCTGTGACTTCCTGGTCTGTGACTTCCTGGTCTGTGACTTCCTGGTCTGTGACTTCCTGTTTCTTACATGGCAATTAAAACGATTCTGATTCTGAAATACTTACATCTGGGTCGACGGCGATGCCGATGCCCTTCCACGACTCCTGAAAATAACAACAGTGATTTTTATGACCTGTAAATAATCAACAAGTCACTGCTTTGGGCATCTATAGAGAGAATCTGAGGATTTGAAAAAAAGGTGGAGATAGAGCGAGTTTCAGGTCATGGTTTTGGGAGAAAACGAACTAACTGTGAGATCTCAGTCCTATAACTACATTACCCAGAATGCTTTAGTCCCAAGGTCATATTGTGAGGCCTTTGATTGGTTGAGCTCACTATTCCCCATGTACAGTGAGTGAGACCAGAGAGAGACCAGAGAGAGACCAGAGAGAGACAAGAGGGACCAGAGAGAGACCAGAGAGAGACCAGAGAGAGACCAGAGAGAGACCAGAGAGGGACCAGAGAGAGACCAGAGAGAGACCAGAGAGAGACCAGAGAGAGACCAGAGAGAGACCAGAGAGAGACCAGAGAGAGACCAGAGAGAGACAAGAGGGAGACCAGAGAGAGACCAGAGAGAGACAAGAGAGAGACCAGAGAGAGACCAGAGAGAGACCAGAGAGAGACCAGAGAGAGACTAGAGAGAGACCAGGGAGACCAGAGAGAGACCAGAGAGAGACAAGAGAGACCAGAGAGAGACAAGAGGGAGACCAGAGAGAGACCAGGGAGACCAGAGAGAAACCAGAGAGAGACAAGAGGGAGACCAGAGAGAGACCAGAGAGAGACTAGAGAGAGACCAGGGAGACCAGAGAGACCAGAGAGAGACAAGAGAGACCAGAGAGAGACAAGAGGGAGACCAGAGAGAGACCAGGGAGACCAGAGAGAGACCAGAGAGAGACAAGAGAGAGACCAGAGAGAGACAAGAGGGAGACCAGAGAGACCAAAGAGAGACCAGAGAGAGACCAGAGAGAGACCAGAGAAAGACAAGAGAAAGACCAGAGAGAGACCAGAGAGACCAGAGAGAGACCAAAGAGAGACCAGAGAGAGACCAGAGAGAGACCAGAGAAAGACAAGAGAAAGACCAGAGAGAGACCAGAGAGACCAGAGAGAGACCAGAGAGAGACCAGAGAGAGACAAGAGGGAGACCAGAGAGACCAGAGAGAGACCAGAGAGAGACTAGAGAGAGACCAGAGAGAGACCAGAGAGAGACCAGAGAGAGACCAGAGAGACCAGAGAGAGACCAGAGACAGCGATAAGAGGGAGACCACAGAGAGACCAGAGAGAGACCAGAGAGAGACCAGAGAGAGACCAGAGAGAGACCAGAGAGACCAGAGAGAGACCAGAGACAGCGATAAGAGGGAGACCACAGAGAGACAAGAGGGAGACCAGAGAGAGACCAGAGAGAGACCAGAGAGAGACAAGAGGGAGACCAGAGAGACCAAAGAGAGACCAGAGAGAGACCAGAGAGAGACCAGAGAAAGACAAGAGAGAGACCAGAGAGAGACCAGAGAGACCAGAGAGAGACCAAAGAGAGACCAGAGAGAGACCAGAGAGAGACCAGAGAAAGACAAGAGAAAGACCAGAGAGACCAGAGAGAGACCAGAGAGAGACCAGAGAGAGACAAGAGGGAGACCAGAGAGACCAGAGAGAGACCAGAGAGAGACCAGAGAGAGACCAAAGAGAGACCAGAGAGAGACCAGAGAGAGACCAGAGAGAGACCAGAGAGAGACCAGAGAGACCAGAGAGAGACCAGAGACAGCGATAAGAGGGAGACCACAGAGAGACCAGAGAGAGACCAGAGAGAGACCAGAGAGAGACCAGAGAGAGACCAGAGAGACCAGAGAGAGACCAGAGACAGCGATAAGAGGGAGACCACAGAGAGACCAGAGGCCGGACTATGAGGCAAGTCTGCTCTTGTTGCTAATAAACGATGTCTGCAGGACTCATTCATCCATCTTCTTCCCTTAAATCCATTTCTGGGTCGGGGGTGGCAGTCACAGAGCACCAGCCCCTCACTGATCCTCCTGCAGGAGCTGAGATCTTTCAGCGGGGGCTTCAGGCAAAGGGGAGTTAAGTGTCTTGGACTCATTCATATAACTCTATAAAACATGTCGAGGGTAAAAGACCAGGAAAAACAACTAAACTAATGTTAAAAGACACTCACCAGCGACGAGCACGACCAAAAGGACAAGCCACAGCTGCGGAGAATAAAACATTAGTGAAGAATGAGTGAATGAAACATCACTCGTTCATACGCACCAGTTTCCCCATCGCAGTTCTAGAGACCGGCACGAGCCCGAACCCTCACCAACAAGCTCTGCTGCGGTCAATACTGGTCCCTGAAGTCGTCGGCTTTTTATGCTGCGAGACACAAACAAATCTGACACAAATGTAGAGTTTTCAAAGGTCAAAGGAAACTGTCTGGAAGATTGTTCTTTAGTTTTATCTCAAAGATTGTTTCAAAACTAAAAGTACGACACACGGACTGGGCAGAGCTCATGTTATTCAAATCAGGGAGAGTAACAATAGGTCAGAATAGATTCATAGTTATGTTCTTATGATAAGAAAGAAGAAGGTGTAGTGGTTCTCTGCATCAACATGTGACATAAATAGCTCATTTTAAATCCATTAAAACTTTTATTGATTCATTTATGACCTTTTTTACACGGCAACAGTCGAGCTTCCCTTATTGCCGAGTTGCAGCTGACGTCACAGGAAGTAAACCTCTCCTTTAAGAACAAAGTAAATATTCACTGAGTCAAAATGTTATTTTTCTGTGGCGTGTTGTCGTGGACATTATAGAGTCTTTGCTAAAAAGTATTTCTCTAACGGTGTCAATTATTAGGAAAATGCCTAAAAGGTACGAAAGAAATGTGTTAGCACTAGCATTAGCATGCGTAGCACTAGCATTAGCCTGTGTAGCACTAGCATTATCCTGCGTCGCATTAGTATTAGCCTGCGTAGCACTAGCATTAGCCTGCGTAGCACTAGCATTAGCCTGCGTCGCATTATTATTAGCCTGCGTAGTACTAGCATTAGCCTGCGTAGCACTAGCATTAGCCTGCGTCGCATTAGTGTTAGCCTACGTAGCACTAGCATTAGCCTGCGTCGCATTAGTAATAGCCTGCGTAGCACTAGCATTAGCCTGCGTAGCACTAGCATTAGCCTGCGTAGCACTAGCATTAGCCTGCGTGACTGCCCGCACACACCGCTGACAGTCCGCAGTCTTCACTTCACTTTCATAAATACAATGCAGTATTTTTGTCTGGTTTACAGTTGTAGTAACCGTGGCAACAGAAACAACTGTTAAATATGTTTTTAAAAACCAAAGGTCGTCATTGTTCATTGTTATGTCCACGACTGTGAGGACCAGGGTCTGTGAGGACCAGGGACTGTGAGGACCGAGGTCTGTGAGGACCGGGGTCTGTGAGGACCGAGGTCTGTGAGGACCGGGGTCTGTGAGGACCAGGGTCTGTGAGGACCAGGGTCTGTGAGGACCGAGGTCTGTGAGGACCGGGGTCTGTGAGGACCGGGGTCTGTGAGGACCGAGGTCTGTGAGGACCGGGGTCTGTGAGGACAGAGGTCTGTGAGGACCGAGGTCTGTGAGGACCGGGGTCTGTGAGGACCGGGGTCTGTGAGGACCGGGGTCTGTGAGGACCGGGGTCTGTGAGGACCGGGGTCTGTGAGGACCGAGGTCTGTGAGGACCGAGGTCTGTGAGGACCGGGGTCTGTGAGGACCGGGGTCTGTGAGGACCGGGGTCTGTGAGGACCGAGGTCTGTGAGGACCGAGGTCTGTGAGGACCGGGGTCTGTGAGGACCGGGGTCTGTGAGGACCGAGGTCTGTGAGGACCGGGGTCTGTGAGGACAGAGGTCTGTGAGGACCGAGGTCTGTGAGGACCGAGGTCTGTGAGGACCGGGGTCTGTGAGGACCGGGGACTGTGAGGACCGGGGTCTGTGAGGACCGGGGTCTGTGAGGACCGAGGTCTGTGAGGACCGAGGTCTGTGAGGACCGAGGTCTGTGAGGACCGGGGTCTGTGAGGACCGGGGTCTGTGAGGACAGAGGTCTGTGAGGACCGGGGTCTGTGAGGACCGAGGTCTGTGAGGACCGGGGTCTGTGAGGACCGGGGTCTGTGAGGACAGAGGTCTGTGAGGACCGGGGTCTGTGAGGACCGGGGTCTGTGAGGACCGGGGTCTGTGAGGACAGAGGTCTGTGAGGACCGAGGTCTGTGAGGACCGGGGTCTGTGAGGACCGGGGTCTGTGAGGACCGAGGTCTGTGAGGACCGAGGTCTGTGAGGACAGAGGTCTGTGAGGACCGAGGTCTGTGAGGACCGAGGTCTGTGAGGACCGGGGTCTGTGAGGACCGAGGTCTGTGAGGACCGAGGTCTGTGAGGACCGAGGTCTGTGAGGACCGAGGTCTGTGAGGACAGAGGTCTGTGAGGACCGGGGTCTGTGAGGACCGAGGTCTGTGAGGACCGGGGTCTGTGAGGACCGAGGTCTGTGAGGACCGAGGTCTGTGAGGACCGAGGTCTGTGAGGACCGAGGTCTGTGAGGACCGGGGTCTGTGAGGACCGAGGTCTGTGAGGACCGAGGTCTGTGAGGACAGAGGTCTGTGAGGACCGGGGTCTGTGAGGACCGGGGTCTGTGAGGACCGAGGTCTGTGAGGACCGGGGTCTGTGAGGACCGGGGTCTGTGAGGACCGGGGACTGTGAGGACAGAGGTCTGTGAGGACCGAGGTCTGTGAGGACCGAGGTCTGTGAGGACCGAGGTCTGTGAGGACCGAGGTCTGTGAGGACCGAGGTCTGTGAGGACCGGGGTCTGTGAGGACCGGGGTCTGTGAGGACCGGGGTCTGTGAGGACCGGGGTCTGTGAGGACCGGGGTCTGTGAGGACAGAGGTCTGTGAGGACCGGGGTCTGTGAGGACCGAGGTCTGTGAGGACCGAGGTCTGTGAGGACCGAGGTCTGTGAGGACCGAGGTCTGTGAGGACCGAGGTCTGTGAGGACCGGGGTCTGTGAGGACAGAGGTCTGTGAGGACAGAGGTCTGTGAGGACCGAGGTCTGTGAGGACCGAGGTCTGTGAGGACCGAGGTCTGTGAGGACCGGGGTCTGTGAGGACAGAGGTCTGTGAGGACCGAGGTCTGTGAGGACCGAGGTCTGTGAGGACCGGGGTCTGTGAGGACAGAGGTCTGTGAGGACCGAGGTCTGTGAGGACCGGGGTCTGTGAGGACCGAGGTCTGTGAGGACCGGGGTCTGTGAGGACCGAGGTCTGTGAGGACCGGGGTCTGTGAGGACCGGGGTCTGTGAGGACCGGGGTCTGTGAGGACCGGGGTCTGTGAGGACAGAGGTCTGTGAGGACCGGGGTCTGTGAGGACCGAGGTCTGTGAGGACCGAGGTCTGTGAGGACCGAGGTCTGTGAGGACCGAGGTCTGTGAGGACCGGGGTCTGTGAGGACAGAGGTCTGTGAGGACAGAGGTCTGTGAGGACCGAGGTCTGTGAGGACCGAGGTCTGTGAGGACCGGGGTCTGTGAGGACAGAGGTCTGTGAGGACCGAGGTCTGTGAGGACCGAGGTCTGTGAGGACCGGGGTCTGTGAGGACAGAGGTCTGTGAGGACCGAGGTCTGTGAGGACCGGGGTCTGTGAGGACCGGGGTCTGTGAGGACCGGGGTCTGTGAGGACCGAGGTCTGTGAGGACCGAGGTCTGTGAGGACCAGGGTCTGTGAGGACCGAGGTCTGTGAGGACCGGGGTCTGTGAGGACCGAGGTCTGTGAGGACCGGGGTCTGTGAGGACCGAGGTCTGTGAGGACCGGGGTCTGTGAGGACCGGGGTCTGTGAGGACCGGGGTCTGTGAGGACCGAGGTCTGTGAGGACCGAGGTCTGTGAGGACCGAGGTCTGTGAGGACCGGGGACTGTGAGGACCGGGGTCTGTGAGGACCGGGGACTGTGAGGACAGAGGTCTGTGAGGACCGGGGACTGTGAGGACAGAGGTCTGTGAGGACCGGGGACTGTGAGGACAGAGGTCTGTGAGGACCGAGGTCTGTGAGGACCGGGGTCTGTGAGGACAGAGGTCTGTGAGGACCGGGGTCTGTGAGGACCGAGGTCTGTGAGGACAGAGGTCTGTGAGGACCGAGGTCTGTGAGGACCGAGGTCTGTGAGGACCGAGGTCTGTGAGGACCGAGGTCTGTGAGGACAGAGGTCTGTGAGGACCGGGGTCTGTGAGGACCGAGGTCTGTGAGGACCGAGGTCTGTGAGGACCGAGGTCTGTGAGGACCGAGGTCTGTGAGGACAGAGGTCTGTGAGGACCAGGGACTGTGAGGACCGGGGTCTGTGAGGACAGAGGTCTGTGAGGACCGGGGTCTGTGAGGACCGGGGTCTGTGAGGACCGGGGTCTGTGAGGACCGAGGTCTGTGAGGACCGGGGTCTGTGAGGACCGGGGTCTGTGAGGACCGGGGTCTGTGAGGACCGAGGTCTGTGAGGACCGGGGACTGTGAGGACCGGGGACTGTGAGGACCGAGGTCTGTGAGGACCGGGGTCTGTGAGGACCGGGGTCTGTGAGGACCGGGGTCTGTGAGGACCGGGGACTGTGAGGACCGGGGTCTGTGAGGACCGGGGTCTGTGAGGACCGGGGACTGTGAGGACCGGGGTCTGTGAGGACCGGGGTCGTGTGAGGACCGGGGTCTGTGAGGCAGGTCTGTGAGGACCGAGGTCTGTGAGGACCGGGGACTGTGAGGACCGGGGTCTGTGAGGACCGGGGTCTGTGAGGACCGGGGTCTGTGAGGACCGAGGTCTGTGAGGACCGAGGTCTGTGAGGACCGGGGTCTGTGAGGACCGAGGTCTGTGAGGACCGGGGTCTGTGAGGACCGAGGTCTGTGAGGACCGAGGTCTGTGAGGACCGGGGTCTGTGAGGACAGAGGTCTGTGAGGACCGGGGTCTGTGAGGACCGAGGTCTGTGAGGACCGGGGTCTGTGAGGACCGAGGTCTGTGAGGACCGAGGTCTGTGAGGACCGGGGACTGTGAGGACCGAGGTCTGTGAGGACCGAGGTCTGTGAGGACCGAGGTCTGTGAGGACCGGGGTCTGTGAGGACCGAGGTCTGTGAGGACCGAGGTCTGTGAGGACCGAGGTCTGTGAGGACCGAGGTCTGTGAGGACCGGGGTCTGTGAGGACCGGGGTCTGTGAGGACCGGGGTCTGTGAGGACAGAGGTCTGTGAGGACCGAGGTCTGTGAGGACCGGGGACTGTGAGGACCGGGGTCTGTGAGGACCGGGGACTGTGAGGACAGAGGTCTGTGAGGACCGGGGACTGTGAGGACCGAGGTCTGTGAGGACCGAGGTCTGTGAGGACCGGGGTCTGTGAGGACCGAGGTCTGTGAGGACCGGGGTCTGTGAGGACCGAGGTCTGTGAGGACAGAGGTCTGTGAGGACAGAGGTCTGTGAGGACCGAGGTCTGTGAGGACCGAGGTCTGTGAGGACCGAGGTCTGTGAGGACCGGGGTCTGTGAGGACCGAGGTCTGTGAGGACCGGGGTCTGTGAGGACAGAGGTCTGTGAGGACCGAGGTCTGTGAGGACCGGGGTCTGTGAGGACAGAGGTCTGTGAGGACAGAGGTCTGTGAGGACAGAGGTCTGTGAGGACCGAGGACTGTGAGGACCGAGGTCTGTGAGGACCGAGGTCTGTGAGGACCGAGGTCTGTGAGGACCGGGGTCTGTGAGGACCGAGGTCTGTGAGGACAGAGGTCTGTGAGGACAGAGGTCTGTGAGGACAGAGGTCTGTGAGGACCGGGGTCTGTGAGGACCGAGGTCTGTGAGGACAGAGGTCTGTGAGGACCGGGGTCTGTGAGGACCGGGGTCTGTGAGGACCGGGGTCTGTGAGGACCGAGGTCTGTGAGGACAGAGGTCTGTGAGGACAGAGGTCTGTGAGGACCGAGGTCTGTGAGGACCGGGGTCTGTGAGGACCGAGGTCTGTGAGGACCGGGGTCTGTGAGGACCGAGGTCTGTGAGGACAGAGGTCTGTGAGGACAGAGGTCTGTGAGGACCGAGGTCTGTGAGGACCGGGGTCTGTGAGGACCGGGGTCTGTGAGGACCGGGGTCTGTGAGGACCGAGGTCTGTGAGGACCGAGGTCTGTGAGGACCGGGGTCTGTGAGGACAGAGGTCTGTGAGGACCGAGGTCTGTGAGGACCGGGGTCTGTGAGGACCGAGGTCTGTGAGGACCGGGGTCTGTGAGGACCGAGGTCTGTGAGGACCGAGGACTGTGAGGACCGAGGTCTGTGAGGACCGAGGTCTGTGAGGACCGGGGTCTGTGAGGACCGAGGTCTGTGAGGACAGAGGTCTGTGAGGACAGAGGTCTGTGAGGACCGAGGTCTGTGAGGACCGGGGTCTGTGAGGACCGGGGTCTGTGAGGACCGAGGTCTGTGACTGCTGCTAGCTGCATGCATTTAGCCGCATGCATTTAGCCGCATGCATTTAGCCGCATGCTTTTAGCCGCATGCATTTAGCCGCATGCATTTAGCCGCATGCATTTAGCCGCATGCATTTAGCCGCATGCATTTAGCCGCATGCATTTAGCCGCATGCATTTAGCCGCATGCATTTAGCCTTCAAACCCAGCGCCGCATCAACACGTCCAGCGCAGAGCAAACCAACACTTGTACCTTTACTCTTTTTAATGTTCTGAGATTATTCTGTTGGTTCTGGTTCTGTCCGGCCCAGACTGTGCTACACCAATAAACTTGCCTTCAGTGCAGACCCATTGATGTCACATGTTCACAGACCCATTGATGTCACATGTTCACAGACCCATTGATGTCACATGTTCACAGACCCATTGATGTCACATGATCACAGACCCATTGATGTCACATGTTCACCGACCCATTGATGTCACATGTTCACAGACCCATTGATGTCACATGTTCACAGACCCATTGATGTCACATGATCACAGACCCATTGATGTCACATGTTCACCAACCCATTGATGTCACATGATCACAGACCCATTGATGTCACATGTTCACCGACCCATTGATGTCACATGTTCACAGACCCATTGATGTCACATGTTCACCGACCCATTGATGTCACATGATCACAGACCCATTGATGTCACATGTTCACAGACCCATTGATGTCACATGTTCACAGACCCATTGATGTCACATGTTCGTGTCAGATCCAGAGGCTACAGTTTATTCTCTTACAAATGTGAAACCAGACGAGTGGAACAGGAAACATTGTCCACGAGCAGTGACTGACGATAAGGACCATGTAGCATAAGGACCATGTAGCATAAGGACCATGTAGCACTTCAAAGGCTCCTGGTCCCTGGACCAGAACATCTGTATCTGAAGTTTATCAAAGAAAAGACAAATACAGAAACATGTACAATATTTACGGTTGTTTCGAATGCAAAGATGTATGTAGCTTTTTTCAGATTCTATCTGTAAAAATAATATTAATAATACCAATAATAATAATAATAATAACAATAATAATAATAATAATAAAAATTAAAGCCGCAAGCGGCGATGAAAGGCCTCGCCACTCTTGCGACCGCCTCCCGGGCGCCAGTCCCACAAGCGTCACGCGGCGCACTCGCCGACGAATTGGCAGCCCGATCGGACCTGGATTACGTACATAATACCTCACTAATAGCATAAAGTGCGCCCCTAGTGGATAATAATAATATTAATAATAATAGTTTTCTACAGTATTCTTCAGGACTCTCAAATGCTGCTTTTCCACAGTATCAGTACAGAGTACGGTTCAGTTCGGCGCGCCTCGGTCCTCAGCGTTGTCAGACCACGTCAGACGAAGCGTGACATCGGTGCGGACACCGAGTGACAGAGTAACTCTAACAGAACATTCAGCTCAGAGAGTGGTTGTTAAAATGCTTTGGTCTTAAAGGAATGACTCGGACACTGCACATGTGAAGTCAATGGGACACACCTGTAGCAACAGCAGCTGTGTAGCACTGGTGCAGCACTGGTGCAGAGGAGGAGGGTCCAATGCGTCGCTTGTCATATTATTTTGACCAAAAATAAAACCTTTGTATTTACAAAATGTCTCCACCCTTGTTCATAAATGAAACAAGGTTATACGGATTTACTGACAAATATAATGAATGAAGTAAAAGTACACTGTAGGAGATCGTCAGTGAGGATACGGCTAGGCTATAGCTAATGCTAGCACTAGCTCGAGACTCGACTGCTCTCACTCACAAAGCTACTACTGCACTACAAACAAAAACACAATTCTTTGTTTTTTAGGGGTATCTGTGTATTATTAATGACACGTAATGGATCTGGAGGCAGAGTTTACAGTAATCAGTATTTAACACACTCTTCATCATCTGGGATGTGTTTGTATCGCTCTCCGTGTGCTGTGAGCGCAGCAGGATGAAGTGGTGACTCAGGAGCTGTGAGCGCAGCAGGATAAAGTGGTGACTCAGGAGCTGTGAGCGCAGCAGGATGAAGTGGTGACTCAGGAGCTGTGAGCGCAGCAGGATGAAGTGGTGACTCAGGAGCTGTGAGCTCGGCACGATGAAGTGGTGACTCAGGAGCTGTGAGCTCAGCAGGATAAAGTGGTGACTCAGGAGCTGTGAGCGCAGCAGGATGAAGTGGTGACTCAGGAGCTGTGAGCTCAGCAGGATAAAGTGGTGACTCAGGAGCTGTGAGCGCAGCAGGATGAAGTGGTGACTCAGGAGCTGTGAGCGCAGCAGGATGAAGTGGTGACTCAGGAGCTGTGAGCTCGGCACGATGAAGTGGTGACTCAGGAGCTGTGAGCTCAGCAGGATGAAGTGGTGACTCAGGAGCTGTGAGCTCGGCACGATGAAGTGGTGACTCAGGAGCTGTGAGCGCAGCAGGATGAAGTGGTGACTCAGGAGCTGTGAGCGCAGCAGGATGAAGTGGTGACTCAGGAGCTGTGAGCTCGGCACGATGAAGTGGTGACTCAGGAGCTGTGAGCGCAGCAGGATGAAGTGGTGACTCAGGAGCTGTGAGCGCAGCAGGATGAAGTGGTGACTCAGGAGCTGTGAGCTCAGCAGGATAAAGTGGTGACTCAGGAACTGTGAGCGCAGCAGGATGAAGTGGTGACTCAGGAGCTGTGAGCGCAGCAGGATGAAGTGGTGACTCAGGAGCTGTGAGCTCGGCACGATGAAGTGGTGACTCAGGAGCTGTGAGCGCAGCAGGATGAAGTGGTGACTCAGGAGCTGTGAGCTCGGCAGGATGAAGTGGTGACTCAGGAGCTGTGAGCGCAGCAGGATGAAGTGGTGACTCAGGAGCTGTGAGCGCAGCAGGATGAAGTGGTGACTCAGGAGCTGTGAGCTCGGCACGATGAAGTGGTGACTCGCGGTGAAAAAACTACAGTTTCTTTGGTCTTTGGACCCGATGGTCGTATAGGTTCAATCCCCCACGGCCCATGTCACCTGCTCCCACTGATCTGCTGTCGTTGTGTCCCTGGGCAAGACACCTGACTCCACTATGCCTGTTTCAACAGCCATCTGTTGTAGCAGGATCAGAGAGGGACTGGTGCTTTGTGGAATGGGTGAAACCCACCCCCGACCCAGAAATGAATGAATAAAAGAGATGACAATCAAATGAAATATGTAAATTATTTGAGATTCGCGATTTATGACTCATGGTTAAAATACCGCAACTCTTTGCTTTTTAGGTGTTTTATGAATTATTAACATCCATCCATTTTCCATCCATTTTCTTCCCTTTAATCCATTTCTGGGTCAGGGGGGTGGCAGTCAGAGATGCCACCCAAGTCTCATAGCACCAGCCCCTCACTGACCCTCTGCAGGTGGTGAGTCCACAGGAGGACGGCTGCTCTCTGAGTGTGAGCATAGCCTTGATCTTTCAGTGGGGGCTTTGGGCAAAGTGGGGTTAAGTGTCTTGCCCAAGGACACAACGACAGCAGTCATCAGTGGGAGTCGGTGGAGAAGGTGCAGAGGTGGGAATTGAACCCACGACCTTCTGGGCTTAAGGCCAATGCTCTACCAATTGAGCTACTGTCGTGTTTTATGAATTATTAACATAAGATAATGTAATCCTTTATTGATGTGATGTCACGATGGAGAAATGCGTTCCTTACTTTCAGCTCTCAGAACACTCGATTACTCGCCATGTGTAGTGACTCACTCATCTATGAACACCAGAGGGCGCTGTCTGATTTCATGTTGAATCCTGCACTACAGTAGTTGGACATCTCTCTTGCTTAACAATTGTGAGTATAAGAATAATTGAGTTATTTTGTTTAGTTTTTTAGTCTGTCTTTTAATAATTGTGTGAACATTTTAAAGGCCATGACATAAAAAAAAAACTAAACATGTTTAGCTTTCCCATGATCATTGTGGGAGTTTTTTGTTAGTTTGTTTTTTTGCTCTTTCTGAGATGGATTAGTGCATTGGGCAAACATAATGAACACAACAATCGTTATTATGATCATTATTAATTATAATTAATTAATTATAATAAATAATTAATTATAATAATCAGCAGACTGAAGTCGCTGAGCCATGACTTCAGTCTGCTGAGCCATGACTTCAGTCTGCTGAGCCGCGACTTCAGCCTGCTGAGCCGCGACTTCAGCCTGCTGAGCCACGACTTCAGCCTGCTGAGCCATGACTTCAGCCTGCTGAGCCATGACTTCAGCCTGCTGAGCCACGACTTCAGCCTGCTGAGCCACTACTTCAGTCTGCTGAGCCACTACTTCAGTATGCTGAGCCACAACTTCAGCCTGCTGAGCCGCGACTTCAGCCTGCTGAGCCATGACTTCAGTCCGCTGAGCCGCGACTTCAGTATGCTGAGCCACAACTTCAGCCTGCTGAGCCGCGACTTCAGCCTGCTGAGCCATGACTTCAGTCTGCTGAGCCGCGACTTCAGTCTGCTGAGCCACTACTTCAGTCTGCTGAGCCACAACTTCAGCCTGCTGAGCCATGACTTCAGTCTGCTGAGCCGCGACTTCAGCCTGCTGAGCCATGACTTCAGTCCGCTGAGCCGCGACTTCAGTCTGCTGAGCCACTACTTCAGTCTGCTGAGCCACTACTTCAGTATGCTGAGCCACAACTTCAGCCTGCTGAGCCATGACTTCAGTCTGCTGAGCCGCGACTTCAGCCTGCTGAGCCATGACTTCAGCCTGCTGAGCCATGACTTCAGCCTGCTGAGCCATGACTTCAGTCTGCTGAGCCATGACTTCAGTCTGCTGAGCCGCGACTTCAGCCTGCTGAGCCATGACTTCAGCCTGCTGAGCCATGACTTCAGCCTGCTGAGCCATGACTTCAGCCTGCTGAGCCACGACTTCAGCCTGCTGAGCCGCGACTTCAGCCTGCTGAGCTGCGACTTCAGCCTGCTGAGCCGCGACTTCAGCCTGCTGAGCCATGACTTCAGCCTGCTGAGCCATGACTTCAGCCTGCTGAGCCATGACTTCAGTCTGCTGAGCCGCGACTTCAGCCTGCTGAGCCATGACTTCAGCCTGCTGAGCCGCGACTTCAGCCTGCTGAGCCACTACTTCAGTCTGCTGAGCCACTACTTCAGTCTGCTGAGCCATGACTTCAGCCTGCTGAGCCATGACTTCAGCCTGCTGAGCCATGACTTCAGTCTGCTGAGCCACTACTTCAGTCTGCTGAGCCACTACTTCAGTATGCTGAGCCACAACTTCAGCCTGCTGAGCCGCGACTTCAGCCTGCTGAGCCATGACTTCAGTCCGCTGAGCCGCGACTTCAGCCTGCTGAGCCACTACTTCAGCCTGCTGAGCCGCGACTTCAGCCTGCTGAGCCGCAACTTCAGCCTGCTGAGCCGCGACTTCAGTCTGCTGAGCCACTCTGCTGAGCCACAACTTCAGCCTGCTGAGCCACTACTTCAGTCTGCTGAGCCACTACTTCATCCTGCTGAGCCATGACTTCAGCCTGCTGAGCCACTACTTCAGCCTGCTGAGCCACTACTTCAGTCTGCTGAGCCGCAACTTCAGCCTGCTGAGCCGCGACTTCAGCCTGCTGAGCCGCGACTTCAGCCTGCTGAGCCACGACTTCAGCCTGCTGAGCCATGACTTCAGCCTGCTGAGCCATGACTTCAGCCTGCTGAGCCACGACTTCAGCCTGCTGAGCCACTACTTCAGTCTGCTGAGCCACTACTTCAGTCTGCTGAGCCACGACTTCAGTCTGCTGAGCCGCGACTTCAGCCTGCTGAGCCACGACTTCAGCCTGCTGAGCCATGACTTCAGCCTGCTGAGCCACGACTTCAGCCTGCTGAGCCATGACTTCAGCCTGCTGAGCCATGACTTCAGCCTGCTGAGCCACGACTTCAGCCTGCTGAGCCACTACTTCAGTATGCTGAGCCACGACTTCAGCCTGCTGAGCCACGACTTCAGCCTGCTGAGCCACTACTTCAGCCTGCTGAGCCACTACTTCAGTCTGCTGAGCCACTACTTCAGTCTGCTGAGCCACGACTTCAGTCTGCTGAGCCGCGACTTCAGCCTGCTGAGCCACGACTTCAGCCTGCTGAGCCACGACTTCAGCCTGCTGAGCCATGACTTCAGCCTGCTGAGCCATGACTTCAGCCTGCTGAGCCACAACTTCAGCCTGCTGAGCCACGACTTCAGCCTGCTGAGCCACGACTTCAGCCTGCTGAGCCATGACTTCAGTCTGCTGAGCCACTACTTCAGTCTGCTGAGCCACTACTTCAGTATGCTGAGCCACAACTTCAGCCTGCTGAGCCGCGACTTCAGCCTGCTGAGCCATGACTTCAGCCTGCTGAGCCATGACTTCAGCCTGCTGAGCCATGACTTCAGTCTGCTGAGCCATGACTTCAGCCTGCTGAGCCGCGACTTCAGCCTGCTGAGCCATGACTTCAGTCTGCTGAGCCATGACTTCAGTCTGCTGAGCCGCGACTTCAGCCTGCTGAGCCATGACTTCAGTCTGCTGAGCCATGACTTCAGTCCGCTGAGCCATGACTTCAGTCTGCTGAGCCATGACTTCAGTCTGCTGAGCCATGACTTCAGCCTGCTGAGCCATGACTTCAGCCTGCTGAGCCATGACTTCAGCCTGCTGAGCCATGACTTCAGCCTGCTGAGCCACGACTTCAGCCTGCTGAGCCGCGACTTCAGCCTGCTGAGCTGCGACTTCAGCCTGCTGAGCCGCGACTTCAGCCTGCTGAGCCATGACTTCAGCCTGCTGAGCCATGACTTCAGCCTGCTGAGCCATGACTTCAGTCTGCTGAGCCGCGACTTCAGCCTGCTGAGCCACTACTTCAGTCTGCTGAGCCACTACTTCAGTCTGCTGAGCCACTACTTCAGTATGCTGAGCCACAACTTCAGCCTGCTGAGCCGCGACTTCAGCCTGCTGAGCCATGACTTCAGTCCGCTGAGCCGCGACTTCAGCCTGCTGAGCCACTACTTCAGCCTGCTGAGCCGCGACTTCAGCCTGCTGAGCCACGACTTCAGCCTGCTGAGCCGCAACTTCAGCCTGCTGAGCCGCGACTTCAGTCTGCTGAGCCACTCTGCTGAGCCACAACTTCAGCCTGCTGAGCCACTACTTCAGTCTGCTGAGCCACTACTTCATCCTGCTGAGCCATGACTTCAGCCTGCTGAGCCATGACTTCAGCCTGCTGAGCCACTACTTCAGCCTGCTGAGCCACTACTTCAGTCTGCTGAGCCGCAACTTCAGCCTGCTGAGCCGCGACTTCAGCCTGCTGAGCCGCGACTTCAGCCTGCTGAGCCACGACTTCAGCCTGCTGAGCCATGACTTCAGCCTGCTGAGCCACGACTTCAGCCTGCTGAGCCATGACTTCAGCCTGCTGAGCCACGACTTCAGCCTGCTGAGCCACGACTTCAGTCTGCTGAGCCATGACTTCAGCCTGCTGAGCCACGACTTCAGCCTGCTGAGCCACGACTTCAGCCTGCTGAGCCACGACTTCAGTCCGCTGAGCCGGCTCCTGAGTCAGTGGTCAGCAGGACATGGAGAGCGATACTAACACCGGCTGATGAAGAGTGTAGCTCTGATGGTTCACAACTTTGTTTCTTGTGAACAACACCGTAAGAGCTACAAATAATTCACACATTAAATACCTTATGTAGGGTTTGTCCAATAATTTGTGGATATCAAAATTGCAAGACAGATAATGCCAATTTTAAATAGATTCCAGAAAAAATGATCCTTTATTTTATTTTTAAAATGTGTTTTTAATGTTCTTGCATTGTCCGAGCTTCACACCTGAGGTGTGACGTCACAGCGGGTACCGCCCCCATTCAAAGTGTGCAGGGGTTCCGACACTGAACAAGAAACATGCGAAAAAACCTGGTCTATGCACCGAGTTTCAACGGATGAAGAGCAAAGTGAGTTACAATAAGAAGTCTGACACCTTTTGCCACATGTTTGAGCCTGATGCTTCCTCGGATAAAGAGGAGAGACAAACACAGACACGGGAAAGGACCTGAGGCGTTTAGATCGGCACAAACACGCCTCTTATACGGGGAAATAATTAACTATTCGTTAGGGCCTGTGAGTGTGAAAAGTGCTGTACAAATGCCATTACGACAACGTCAACAACAACGAACTGACTACGGAGCATAATCCTGACAGACTGGATTCATGCACGGTCCCTAAACAGGGACTAAAGCCGCGTTCAGACCGGATCATGCTGCGTCGGCTTTCAATGCAAAGTCAATGGTGACGCGCACTCGAGCGTCAAAACGCACGGACTTCTCGGCACACACGGACTGCTCTGTAGAGACGCACGGACTGCTCTGTAGAGACGCACGGACTGCTCTGTAGAGACGCACGGACTGCTCTGTAGAGACGCACGGACTGCTCTGTAGAGACGCACGGACTGCTCTGTAGAGACGCACGGACTGCTCTGTAGAGACGCACGGACTGTTCTGTAGAGACGCACGGACTGCTCTGTAGAGACGCACGGACTGTTCTGTAGAGACGCACGGACTGTTCTGTAGAGACGCACGGACTGCTCTGTAGAGACGCACGGACTGCTCTGTAGAGACGCACGGACTGCTCTGTAGAGACGCACGGACTGTTCTGTAGAGACGCACGGACTGTTCTGTAGAGACGCACGGACTGCTCTGTAGAGACGCACGGACTGCTCTGTAGAGACGCACGGACTGCTCTGTAGAGACGCACGGACTGCTCTGTAGAGACGCACGGACTGCTCTGTAGAGACGCACGGACTGCTCTGTAGAGACGCACGGACTGCTCTGTAGAGACGCACGGACTGTTCTGTAGAGACGCACGGACTGTTCTGTAGAGACGCACGGACTGCTCTGTAGAGACGCACGGACTGTTCTGTAGAGACGCACGGACTGCTCTGTAGAGACGCACGGACTGCTCTGTAGAGACGCACGGACTGCTCTGTAGAGACGCACGGACTGCTCTGTAGAGACGCACGGACTGCTCTGTAGAGACGCACGGACTGTTCTGTAGAGACGCACGGACTGTTCTGTAGAGACGCACGGACTGCTCTGTAGAGACGCACGGACTGTTCTGTAGAGACGACGCGACGGACTGTTCTGTAGAGACGCACGGACTGCTCTGTAGAGACGCACGGACTGTTCTGTAGAGACGCACGGACTGCTCTGTAGAGACGCACGGACTGTTCTGTAGAGACGCACGGACTGCTCTGTAGAGACGCACGGACTGCTCTGTAGAGACGCACGGACTGCTCTGTAGAGACGCACGGACTGCTCTGTAGAGACGCACGGACTGCTCTGTAGAGACGCACGGACTGTTCTGTAGAGACGCACGGACTGCTCTGTAGAGACGCACGGACTGCTCTGTAGAGACGCACGGACTGCTCTGTAGAGACGCACGGACTGCTCTGTAGAGACGCATGGACTGCTCTGTAGAGACGCACGGACTGCTCTGTAGAGACGCACGGACTGCTCAGTAGAGACGCACGGACTGCTCTGTAGAGACGCACGGACTTTGCGAGAAAGTCAAAGCGGAGGAGCAGGAGCAAAAAATCGACGCCCACAGGAGATGAATTTTGCTCAACCTCTTCGCCGGATGGTGGTGCAGCGACCAATTACAGAGTGCGCACACCTCACGTGATCACGCCACGTACACACTACATACACCTCGGGGGACACCCGGAACCGGCCTTTTTGAACATGGAAGACCGTATAGTCGATAATCTGATTGTGGCCGTAGCAAACTTTCCTGAACTGTGGAAAGTGTGCATTCCCGAGTACAGCGACAGACTGAAGAAGGAGCAGACTGAAGAAGGAACAGACTGAAGAAGGAGCTGACTGAAGAAGGAGCAGACTGAAGAAGGAGCTGAAGAAGGAGCAGACTGAAGAAGGAGCTGAAGAAGGAGCTGAAGAAGGAGCAGACTGAACAAGGAGCAGACTGAAGAAGGAGCTGAAGAAGGAGCAGACTGAAGAAGGAGCTGAAGAAGGAGCTGAAGAAGGAGCAGACTGAACAAGGAGCTGAAGAAGGAGCTGACTGAAGAAGGAGCTGAAGAAGGAGCTGAAGAAGGAGCAGACTGAAGAAGGAGCTGAAGAAGGAGCTGACTGAAGAAGGAGCAGACTGAAGAAGGAGCTGAAGAAGGAGCTGAAGAAGGAGCAGACTGAAGAAGGAGCTGAAGAAGGAGCAGACTGAAGAAGGAGCTGAAGAAGGAGCTGACTGAAGAAGGAGCAGACTGAAGAAGGAGCTGAAGAAGGAGCAGACTGAAGAAGGAGCAGACTGAAGAAGGAGCTGAAGAAGGAGCTGACTGAAGAAGGAGCTGAAGAAGGAGCTGAAGAAGGAGCAGACTGAAGAAGGAGCTGAAGAAGGAGCTGACTGAAGAAGGAGCAGACTGAAGAAGGAGCTGAAGAAGGAGCTGAAGAAGGAGCAGACTGAAGAAGGAGCTGAAGAAGGAGCAGACTGAAGAAGGAGTTGAAGAAGGAGCTGACTGAAGAAGGAGCAGACTGAAGAAGGAGCTGAAGAAGGAGCAGACTGAAGAAGGAGCTGAAGAAGGAGCTGACTGAAGAAGGAGCTGAAGAAGGAGCAGACTGAAGAAGGAGCTGAAGAAGGAGCTGAAGAAGGAGCTGAAGAAGGAGCAGACTGAAGAAGGAGCTGACTGAAGAAGGAGCAGACTGAAGAAGGAGCAGACTGAAGAAGGAGCTGAAGAAGGAGCAGACTGAAGAAGGAGCAGACTGAAGAAGGAGCTGAAGAAGGAGCAGACTGAAGAAGGAGCAGACTGAAGAAGGAGCTGAAGAAGGAGCAGACTGAAGAAGGAGCAGACTGAAGAAGGAGCTGAAGAAGGAGCAGACTGAAGAAGGAGCAGACTGAAGAAGGAGCTGAAGAAGGAGCTGACTGAAGAAGGAGCAGACTGAAGGAGCAGACTGAAGAAGGAGCAGACTGAAGAAGGAGCAGACTGAAGAAGGAGCTGAAGAAGGAGCTGAAGAAGGAGCAGACTGAAGAAGGAGCAGACTGAAGAAGGAGCTGAAGAAGGAGCAGACTGAAGAAGGAGCTGAAGAAGGAGCAGACTGAAGAAGGAGCAGACTGAAGAAGGAGCAGGCTGAAGAAGGAGCAGGCTGAAGAAGGAGCAGACTGAAGAAGGAGCAGACTGAAGAAGGAGCAGGCTGAAGAAGGAGCTGCAGAAGGAGCAGACTGAAGAAGGAGCAGACTGAAGAAGGAGCAGAGAAGGAGCTGAAGAAGGAGCAGACTGAAGAAGGAGCTGAAGAAGGGGCAGACTGAAGAAGGAGCAGACTGAAGAAGGAGCTGACTGAAGAAGGAGCAGACTGAAGAAGGAGCAGACTGAAGAAGGAGCAGACTGAAGAAGGAGCTGAAGAAGGAGCAGACTGAAGAAGGAGCAGACTGAAGAAGGAGCAGACTGAAGAAGGAGCTGAAGAAGGAGCTGACTGAAGAAGGAGCAGACTGAAGAAGGAGCTGAAGAAGGAGCAGACTGAAGAAGGAGCAGACTGAAGGAGCAGACTGAAGAAGGAGCTGAAGAAGGAGCTGACTGAAGAAGGAGCTGAAGAAGGAGCAGACTGAAGAAGGAGCTGAAGAAGGAGCTGAAGAAGGAGCTGACTGAAGAAGGAGCTGAAGAAGGAGCTGACTGAAGAAGGAGCAGACTGAAGAAGGAGCTCTGAAGAAGGAGCTGAAGAAGGAGCTGACTGAAGAAGATGCAGACTGAAGAAGGAGCTGACTGAAGAAGGAGCAGACTGAAGAAGGAGCTGAAGAAGGAGCAGACTGAAGAAGGAGCTGAAGAAGGAGCAGACTGAAGAAGGAGCTGAAGAAGGAGCTGACTGAAGAAGGAGCAGACTGAAGAAGGAGCTGAAGAAGGAGCAGACTGAAGAAGGAGCTGAAGAAGGAGCTGACTGAAGAAGGAGCTGAAGAAGGAGCAGACTGAAGAAGGAGCTGAAGAAGGAGCTGAAGAAGGAGCTGAAGAAGGAGCAGACTGAAGAAGGAGCTGACTGAAGAAGGAGCAGACTGAAGAAGGAGCAGACTGAAGAAGGAGCTGAAGAAGGAGCAGACTGAAGAAGGAGCTGAAGAAGGAGCAGACTGAAGAAGGAGCAGACTGAAGAAGGAGCTGAAGAAGGAGCAGACTGAAGAAGGAGCTGAAGAAGGAGCAGACTGAAGAAGGAGCAGACTGAAGAAGGAGCTGAAGACGGAGCTGAAGAAGGAGCAGACTGAAGAAGGAGCAGACTGAAGAAGGAGCTGAAGAAGGAGCTGAAGAAGGAGCAGACTGAAGAAGGAGCAGACTGAAGAAGGAGCTGAAGAAGGAGCTGACTGAAGAAGGAGCAGACTGAAGAAGGAGCTGAAGAAGGAGCTGAAGAAGGAGCAGACTGAAGAAGGAGCTGAAGAAGGAGCAGACTGAAGAAGGAGCAGACTGAAGAAGGAGCAGACTGAAGAAGGAGCTGAAGAAGGAGCAGACTGAGGAAGGAGCTGAAGAAGGAGCTGAAGAAGGAGCAGACTGAAGAAGGAGCAGGCTGAAGAAGGAGCTGAGGAAGGAGCAGACTGAAGAAGGAGCAGACTGAAGAAGGAGCAGGCTGAAGAAGGAGCAGACTGAAGAAGGAGCAGACTGAAGAAGGAGCAGAGAAGGAGCTGAAGAAGGAGCAGACTGAAGAAGGAGCTGAAGAAGGAGCTGAAGAAGGAGCAGACTGAAGAAGGAGCAGACTGAAGAAGGAGCTGACTGAAGAAGGAGCAGACTGAAGAAGGAGCAGACTGAAGAAGGAGCTGAAGAAGGAGCAGACTGAAGAAGGAGCAGACTGAAGAAGGAGCAGACTGAAGAAGGAGCTGAAGAAGGAGCAGACTGAAGAAGGAGCAGACTGAAGAAGGAGCAGACTGAAGAAGGAGCAGACTGAAGAAGGAGCTGAAGAAGGAGCTGACTGAAGAAGGAGCTGAAGAAGGGGCAGACTGAAGAAGGAGCTGAAGAAGGAGCTGAAGAAGGAGCTGACTGAAGAAGGAGCTGAAGAAGGAGCTGACTGAAGAAGGAGCAGACTGAAGAAGGAGCTCTGAAGAAGGAGCTGAAGAAGGAGCTGACTGAAGAAGGAGCAGACTGAAGAAGGAGCTGACTGAAGAAGGAGCAGACTGAAGAAGGAGCAGACTGAAGAAGGAGCTGACTGAAGAAGGAGCAGACTGAAGAAGGAGCTGAAGAAGGAGCAGACTGAAGAAGGAGCTGAAGAAGGAGCAGACTGAAGAAGGAGCAGACTGAAGAAGGAGCTGACTGAAGAAGGAGCAGACTGAAGAAGGAGCAGACTGAAGAAGGAGCAGACTGAAGAAGGAGCAGACTGAAGAAGGAGCAGACTGAAGACGGAGCAGACTGAAGAAGGAGCAGACTGAAGAAGGAGCAGACTGAAGAAGGAGCAGACTGAAGACGGAGCAGACTGAAGAAGGAGCAGACTGAAGAAGGAGCAGACTGAAGAAGGAGCTGAAGAAGGAGCAGACTGAAGAAGGAGCTGAAGAAGGAGCAGACTGAAGAAGGAGCAGACTGAAGAAGGAGCTGAAGAAGGAGCAGACTGAAGAAGGAGCTGAAGAAGGAGCAGACTGAAGAAGGAGCAGAAGAAGGAGCAGACTGAAGAAGGAACAGACTGAAGAAGGAGCAGACTGAAGAAGGAGCAGACTGAAGAAGGAGCAGGCTGAAGAAGGAGCTGAAGAAGGAGCAGACTGAAGAAGGAGCTGACTGAAGAAGGAGCAGACTGAAGAAGGAGCTGAAGAAGGAGCAGACTGAAGAAGGAGCTGAAGAAGGAGCAGACTGAAGAAGGAGCAGACTGAAGAAGGAGCTGAAGAAGGAGCAGACTGAAGAAGGAGCTGAAGAAGGAGCAGAAGAAGGAGCAGAAGAAGGAGCAGACTGAAGAAGGAGCAGACTGAAGAAGGAGCAGAAGAAGGAGCAGACTGAAGAAGGAGCAGACTGAAGAAGGAGCAGACTGAAGAAGGAGCAGACTGAAGAAGGAGCTGAAGAAGGAGCAGACTGAAGAAGGAGCTGACTGAAGAAGGAGCAGACTGAAGAAGGAGCTGAAGAAGGAGCAGACTGAAGAAGGAGCTGAAGAAGGAGCAGACTGAAGAAGGAGCTGAAGAAGGAGCAGACTGAAGAAGGAGCTGAAGAAGGAGCAGACTGAAGAAGGAGCTGAAGAAGGAGCAGAAGAAGGAGCAGAAGAAGGAGCAGACTGAAGAAGGAGCAGACTGAAGAAGGAGCTGAAGAAGGAGCAGACTGAAGAAGGAGCTGACTGAAGAAGGAGCAGACTGAAGAAGAGGCTGAAGAAGGAGCAGACTGAAGAAGGAGCTGAAGAAGGAGCAGACTGAAGAAGGAGCAGACTGAAGAAGGAGCTGAAGAAGGAGCAGACTGAAGAAGGAGCTGAAGAAGGAGCAGAAGAAGGAGCAGACTGAAGAAGGAGCTGAAGAAGGAGCTGACTGAAGAAGGAGCAGACTGAAGAAGGAGCAGACTGAAGAAGGAGCAGACTGAAGAAGGAGCAGACTGAAGAAGGAGCAGACTGAAGAAGGAGCAGGCTGAAGAAGGAGCAGGCTGAAGAAGGAGCAGACTGAAGAACAATACACAATACAATACAATACAATTTATTCGTGTATAGCCCTAGGTCACAACAGAAGTCATCTCAGAGACTTAACAAAACCATTGAAATCACCAACACAGGTCAGAGAATCAACAGTTAAAACACATGAAGAATATAAAGCACACACAGAAGAAAATGTCCATACATGTTGTAGAATGCTAAAGTGTCCTGATCATCACCAATCCTTTCTGTTGGACACTAACTGTCCAACAAGACCCTCCTGCATCGACAAGGAAAAACTCTTAAAAAACCCAGTGGGAAAAAGTGAGAAACCTTGGAGGAGAACTAGGGAAACCCACAGGGAGGGAGACCCATATGAGAAAGGGATCCGCTCCTCCGGACGGACAGACTAATGATCTAGGACCTAAGCTAGCTACAGAACGTGGACCAGTGGCCGCTGAACGTGGACAGGTCCGGTGCAGGACCGAAGCACTCCCAGGCGGGTCGGGCGGGGCAGTCCGCAGGTGTAGATGGAAGAGGCCAGGCTCAGAGATCCCGTCATCGTACCATGAAACAGACAATGGGACAACGGGTGAATAGCAATGAACAAACTACAGTCAGAATCCTAAAAATGCTAAACAGATAAAGTAGGAAGGAGGAGAGGATAGTGCTCAAGTTACCATACTTCTCCAGCAGGGGGCTCCCTATGCAGCTTGACTGACACTCTGAGGAGTTTAACCTTCTCCGAGTCTTACCTTCCTAGCCATATGCTAAACTAAAGAGGACTGTTTTAAACCTAGCCTTGAATAAAGAATAACATACAGCATAATAATATATAACATAATATACAACATAACACAATACATTATTGAATAATATATAACATAATATATAACATAATACAGCATATATATATAATATATACACTACATATTATATATTACCTAATTATATGCTAAATTAAAGTAAAGTGCTTTAAGCCTGGCCTTGAATGTGGAGACCGTATCTGCTTCCTTAACATAAATGGGAAGCTGATTCCACAGTAAAGGAGCTTGGAGCTAAATGCTCTGCCACCAACAGTGACCTTTGAGACCTTAGGGACCACCAGACGTCTGGCGTTTTGTGAGCGCAACGCTCGACTTGGTTGATACGACACTAACGTGTCTTGGAGATAAGAAGGAGCCAAGCCATTTATGGCTTTATATGTTAAGAGTAGGATTTTAAACTTTATTCTGTACTCCACAGGGAGCCAGTGGAGTGATTTTAACACCGGAGTTATGTGCTCCCTCCTTTTGGTACCTGTTAAGATCCTAGCTGCTGTATTCTGAACGAGCTGGAAGCTCTTCAAAGAGGCTTTAGGGCACGCTGCCAGTAAAGCGTTACAGTAGTCGAGCCTTGAGGTGACAAACGCGTGAATGAGTTTTTCCGCGTCACTTTTAGGAAGGAAATTCCTAATTTTAGCGATGTTCCGTAAGTGGAAGTACGCCGTTTTAGTTGCTTGGCTTATATAAGCCTTGAAGGAGAGTTCTTGGTCAAAAATGACTCCAAGATTCCTCACAGTGTTACTGGGTATTATACTGACATTATCGAGAGTAACCATCTGGTTAGTGAGGGAGTCACGCAGGCGCTTCGGACCGAGTAGGATCACTTCTGTCTTCTCCGGGTTGAGAAGTAGGAAGTTAAGAGTCATCCACATTTTAAGGTCCTTTATGCAGGCACTGAGCTTTTCTAGCTGATCTGTCTGATTAGGCTTCATCGACAGATAAAGCTGTGTGTCATCTGCATAGCAGTGGAAATTAATTCCATGCTTTTTAATAATGTTTCCCAGTGGCAGCATGTAGAGAGTAAAAAAGAATCGGTCCGAGTACCGAACCCTGCGGCACACCGAATTCCACTCCAGAATAAGGCGACGAGTCCTGATTCACATTGACGAAGTGATATCGATCTGATAAATAGGATTTAAACCAGCCAAGGGCTGTTCCTCTAAGACCTATATCACATTCTAGCCTCTGCAGTAGAATGCTGTGGTCTATTGTGTCAAATGCAGCACTAAGGTCCAGTAGGACCAGCACTGACACTTGTCCATTATCAGCAGCTAGTAGTAAGTCATTTGTGACTTTGACTAGTGCCGTTTCAGTGCTATGATGAGCTCTGAATCCTGATTGAAAGACTTCAAACATATCATTTTCCTGCAGGTGGCAGCGGAGCTGCTCAGCTATAAGTTTTTCCAGGATTTTAGATATAAAAGTGAGGTTCGAGATCGGTCTGTAGTTTGTAAGTATTTCTGGGTCCAGGTTTGTTTTCTTCAGAAGGGGTTTGATTACCGCGGTTTTAAAAGCTTGTGGGACATAGCCACATTGTATGGATGCGTTTATTATATTTACGATAGGCTCAATTATCAAAGGAAGTATGTCTTTGAAGAGCCATGTCGGGACTGCGTCTAACATGCAAGTTGAGGCTTTTGAGGATGTGACCACAGAGATCACCTCTGCTTGGCTCACAGCCATGAATTTATTAAGGCCCACTGAAGAGTCTAAGTGGGAAGTCACGTATGCCGCTTCAACCTGTCCACCACTAACAGCAGGAGCAACCTCCTCCAGCTTGTCACGGATGGATGTAATTTTATTATTAAAGAAGTGGAGAAAGTCGACACTGCTCAGTGAGCTTGGAATTTTAGGCTCGATTGCGCTATGGCAGTTTGTGAGTTTAGCGACGGTACCAAACAAAAATCTACTGTTGTTTTTATTCGCTTCTATTAAAGCTGAATAGTATTGAGTTCGAGCCCCGCGAAGGGCCTTCTTGTAGTTTCGGAGACCCGCTTTCCACTCCCTGTGGACAGGCTCCGAGTGGGAGTGGCGATATAGCCTCTCCAATTTTCTGACGTCCTGTTTTAAAGTGTGGAGTTGAACACTGTACCAGGGCGACGATGATCTAATCCTAATGGTTTTCTGTTTTAAAGGAGCTGCTGCATTTAATGCAGATTTTAAAGACTCCATAGTGTTGCCCACCGTTTGGTCGATGACTGAGGGACTGCAGCTGCTGTGAACAGGTTCACCTGCAGCAGTATTCAACATAGGCTGTATTAGTTCTTTGAACCTTGTGATAGATTTATCATTTAAGGTTCTTTTCATTATGGTTTTATCTTGCGGGACAGGAAAGTCCTCCAAAGCGAGATCAAACGTGATCAAGAAATGGTCAGACAGCAACGAGCTTTGACGCTGGATGTCAACATTGGAGACATCACAGCCGTAGGTCAGGACAAGGTCCAAGGTGTGGTTATGAATGTGAGTAGGTTCCTCGACATTCTGAGTAAAACCAACACCATCTAGTACGGCGCTGAAAGCTTTGTTTAAGCTGTCAGTGCTGTCGTCCACATGTATATTGAAGTCTCCAGCTATAACTATGTTTTCCCATTCCAAAACTAGGTTTGAAATGAAGTCAGAGAATTCTGTTAGGAACTCGCTGTAAGGACCAGGAGGTCGGTATAAAACTATAAATAGTACTGCTTTTTGTTTTCTCCACCCAGGACAGGTGATTGAAAGTGTTAAGTTTTCAAACGAGTGAAAAGCGTTGTTGGTTTTGGGACTAAGAACCAAGTTGGTGTGTGATATAATCGCAACACCACCGCCGCGACCTGTAGCTCTGGCTTTCTGGTAGTTAACATGCGTCGGAGGAGTGCACTCATTCAATCTAACGTACTCGTCCTGTTGGAGCCAAGTCTCCGAGAGCGCTAACAGATCCAAGCCCTTGTCTATAATAAGTTCGTTTATGAGAAGCGATTTAGACGAGATTGATCTGACGTTCATTAAACCACATTTAACAACCCTACTGTTAGAACTATTTCTGTCTGTCTGAACTTTTATTAAGTTACTGTGTCTGACACCTAGGTCAGATTTCCTCGCATATAGTGCTTTAGACTTCAAGCGGGGAACACACACAGTTTCAATCTGACTAGGGTCTGAGGCTAGTAACTGAGCACACACAGGCACACACACACATGCACACACAGTTTTAATCTGACTAGCTTCTGAGGCTAGTAACTGAACAGATGGGGGCTCAGAGGTTGTGACAGAGCAGCTCTGCACCCGGACCTCAGTTCTGCATCGTCATTTGAGCCGAGCAGAACAGTTTAGAGCCAGGGCCAAATTCTTAGCCAAAAGGGATGTACCCGCCAACGTTGGGTGGATATCATCCGAGCGGATGAGACCGGGCTTTCCCCAAAAGGCACTCCAATTGTCAACATGAACAACACCACTTCGAGGGCACCAGCCAGACAGCCAGCGGTTGAAAGCCGAGTGTCTGCTGAATGCTTCTGCACTGCTAGTGCTAGGTAGGGGCCCAGAGAAGATGACAGTGTCGGCCATTGTGCTAGCCAGCTTGCACACGGCGGCGACTTGCAGCTTCAACACCTCGGACTGTTTCCGCCGAACGTCATTACCACCCGCGTGAATAACAATTCGACGGAAACGCTGCTTGTGGGTCATCATGAGCCTCAGATTCCCTTCAATATCACCAAGCCTGGCCCCAGGGAAGCACCGAACAGTGGCTCCTGGGATCTTAACACCTCTAACAATAGAGGAGCCAATTACCAGCGCATCAGCGACTCCATCGGCTCTCTCAGCAGCTCTCTCAGCGGCTCTCTCAGTGGGGCCTTCTTCCCCGACAGAGCGTCCCAGCGATTGTAAATGCTAACAGGAGGAGGCCCAATGGGGAAACTACCAACAACACGTCGCCCTCTCCGAACAGTCACAAAGCCATCACTATCCTGGTCTTGTCCCAGCTGCGGAGGACGGGCTGGGAGGCTAGGCTCGCTAGTTCTCCTCTGCCTTTCCCTAAAGCTGCGCTCCGCTGTCCCTGAGGATACGGCCTGGCTGTAGCTAATGCTAGCGCTAGCTCGAGACTCCAGTGCTCGGAGACGCAGCTCTAACTCACTGACCCTGGATTCCAGAGCTACGACTACACTACACTTCACACATCTATCACTACCCTCAGAGAAGGATCCAGGGTTTAGACTCGCCATATGGCAACTCGAGCAGTAAAGGATTGAGGGAGAGACAGCAGCCGCCATAGTAGTAGCGAGTTAGCGGCTAGGCTAGGCTAAGCTAGGCTAAGCTAGTACGGATCCGGGCCCGCACAACAGACTCCGAGACCAGACAAACAACCGCTACCTAAACCTCAGCTGCAGTACAGCTGACTCGGAGTGCTTACACAGTTAGCTTGGTGTACAATACGTGGATTTGTAATGTGTTTGTTAGTGCAAACAGAGAGCAGAGTGATAGCAGTCAAGAAACACGCTCACCGGATACAGGAAGTCACGTGATAACTACTAGAATGTCACATTTCGTTGTCACTGAGATAGTCCAGTGGTTGTGTCGATGGACTGCCAATCCAGATACTGGTGTTCAAATCCCACCTCGGACACTTTTTCACACTCAAAACGGCAATTTATGTGTAGTGAGCAATTGTCACCTGTAGAGTGCAGTATTGTGTTGGGCATCAGTGGAGAGAAGAGAGAAAAGGCAGTCCTGTGGCATAGATCCATGGTTTTCAATGCATGGGCGTTACCCGCTATGACGTCACACACAGGTTAGAGCATAGACAACTTAAATTCATGAAAAACACGTTCTTTTTATAAAATATAGGATTTTTTTTGCCGGAATCTCTTTCAAATTGATATTTTCATGCAATTTTGATATCCACTATTTTTTTTAAAAAAAACCCGTCATAAGGTCTTTAAGTAAAGCACGTAACATACAACAACATAGCAACACTTACCGATCATATTTCCAACCGGTAATGTCTCGCGATAATGTCACCTATGGGTCGAGGGGCACAACATTCAGGAACCATCGAGAAACAAGCGTTTTAGAACATAAGAGAGGGTTCTATTTACCTGCAGCAGCTACCAAACCCCGTGACATCCATGCATGTATTATACCCATGTTACTTTCTATGAATAATATCTAGGTTTCTGACCTCCACATCCACATACGCTATAAGCTGACTTCTGTGTGCAAAGGCTCATGGGAAATTGAGTTTTTTACGTAAAACTTTGGCGAATGTTTAAACTGGTTCTCACCCCCGCTCCTCGGAGCTTACGTCACTCACATTTCCTGTTCAAATCTTCCTCTAAATGGGCATAGCCTGGAGGACTAAAGGGGGCTTGAAACGAGACTGGGTCGTTTATATAGCTCTGGGCGGGGGGCTGCTGACGTCAGGTCTTGCTTCAGACGTCAGGTCTTTCTAGGCAGAAAGTTTAACTTTCAACTAATTTGCACCAAAGTGACAAAATTATGACCAGGATATGTAGACAACACTATTGGACACTCATTAATACCGTGGATTTGAGGGTGATCCATCCATCCATCCATCCATTTTCTTCCCCTTAATCCATTTCTGGGTCGGGGGGGTGGCAGCCAGAGCTGCACCCAGTACACTTAGCACCAGCCCCTCACTGATCCTCCTGCAGGTGGGTGAGTTGTCCTTTAAAGAAGCTATACCAGATTTTTTTTCTAAGTAGTCCATAAAAATGCTTTTTACTACATACAAGTTGTGTCATAATAATACATAATTTAATTGAAAACTTGAGGTCATTGATTCAGCTGCGTATGAAATTTATGCCGTGAAAAGTTCCGAGTGGAGTCTTAGCGGGACGCTCGTTCTCCTCCACTCACAGAACAAGCAGCGAACAGCCTGCGTCCTCTAGCCTCTACAGCGCTGCTTAACACCAGGGCTTCGACTTCAAAAATTTGAATATAATTCTAAAATAAAAAAAATATATACGATATATTCGAACAAATATTAGATAGCCCTTATAATTCGAAATGTATTTAATGATGCTGCAAATAAAATAATTAGCTCCCAAAGATTCACCGGACGTGCTAGGCAGCCTAACAGCTAAGCTAGCTATAGTTGGATCATGTAACATGTATTTTAGTCATGAAAACGTATGACAGCATAATTCTGAAATCGTCCGTGCATGTGGGTTTAAGGATTATGTATACTGTATTTGCAGATAACGTTTAATGGGTATGATTGATTGAATATTTATTTGTTTATGTGAGCGTGGCTAACTCCGCTAGCTTCTCTACTGCAGTAAATCTGTCAGAGTTCCCCTGCTCTGGACGCTGCAGAGAGGCCGCAGCACCACAGCCCGTTTCGTCCTGCAGGTTCTTTTAGTTCAACAAGAGACAATACCAATGTTAAAACAGTAAAAGAAATGACAGACACCAAACCTGATTTCAGATGTTATATTGAAGATTTGCAAGCAACATTACAAGGTAACGGTCTGCGAACAGGTCTCGCTTCGCGTTGAAGATAAGAAGTGGCCCCGGGGACGTCTTTCACCCTCCTGGTCAGAAAAAGCCCCCGTGCCTACTTCTGTACATCTTTTATACTGTACATCCAAGGTCACTGACATCACAGATTCGTGGACTCTATGGCTTCTTCTGGCCAGCTGCCAAAACCTGCACCTGCTTGATAACAACTCTAGTTTTTCTCACTTTTCATACATAACTGCTATTATTCAGAAATAATAACCTTGACCTAACTGCTCTTTGAAATAATTTACACAAACAAGTGCTTTCTAGACCTAATCATTCTGAAGTTGTTTAAGTATTAATTTAGCAACAGAAACAATACTAAACTGATTTTAGTTTAACTGGTCCAGGAGTTTAATATTCCAACAGTCCCCCTGTTGGCCGGAGAGGAACTCTTCGGACATCCATCACTCTCGTCTCAGATGGCCCATCTTCATCAGTTGATTCAGCATTACATCCTATACTCAGTCTAATCCCAGTCTTCACGACGATCTGTGAACTCCTAAACCACCCCATGTGACATTATGAAAAATGTGGTGGTCTTCCACTCAGCCCTTACTTCAGACCCCCCCAAAGGCCTCTGGGCGGACTGAGCATCCAACTCACCCTAAACTACATACATTGAAGTGATCCTATAAAACAATCTATATGTGGGTGTGCTGCGGTGTCTAGTCTGTGTAACAAAAACAATAGTTGCAAGAGCTGTGGAGAAAGAATATGTTTGTGTCGTGCATCAATTTGAATTATGTAATTTTTTTTTTTATTTTTAATTTTTATAATTTTTATCGCATCCCCGTTTTTCCCAAGTCCCTCTTACAATTTTGCAAGGTTATGTGCGTTATTTACATGCAAGCAGTTATACATTTTTGATTAAAATATTTTGATAATATCATAAAGCATACTCACAACTCCTCTGGTGATATTCTGACAATATCACAGACCATACTCACCCGTTCTTCTGATGATTGTCCTTTATGGCTTAGGCTATGGTCATCAATTCTTCTGGTTCCCACTGTAGGTCCTGGGTTAGTAGCAGTTGTCTTTCTGCCACCTTCCCTTCCACAGCGGCTGTTATCACTCTGTTACATAAGGATCGTATGCACGGAATACAACAGCATCCACATAGCGTCAGGATTGCTGCAAATACAGCCACCGATAGCAGAGTTGATGCTATCAGTGCCTTATATCTGCCAAACACATCCAACCACCCATCCCACATTGATTGGTCTACTCCTGAATGTGCCTTCATTTCTTGGGATAGCGCCTTCAGTCCCTGAAGGGCCCTTGTTAATTTTCCATTGGGGCAGTATTATTTGGGATAAACGTACAGCACGTAGGGCCAATCAATGAACAGGCTCCGCCTTCTTTGGCTAAAATCATGTCAACAGCAAGTCTGTTCTGGAAGGTCATTAAGGATGTGGCTGATAATTGTTCATGAATTGCCTCAAATCCATCATATGTATAATTGCTTAGCCTCTGTATGTTGTAATGTAAGTAGTTGATCCGATCGACGTTCTTATTTGGGGTTTCTGGGAAAATTGCAGAGATTATTGGTATTTTTCAAATCCTGATGCAATTTCATCAACCAATTTGTATTCATTTGGAATTCCCCTAGGAATACCTATTGCATCAATATAAACTGGACTTCCCTCCTCTGGTCTAGCCAGTGCCCTTCTTGATCTGGTTTTTACACTAATGATTTGTTTCAAAATCTCTGGCTTCTCTAGATCCACTGGAGCTATTTCAATTGGTATGAGTAATGAGATCAACACACACATGCCATCCCACAGAGGGTGTAGATATCCCCTTAAAGACTTGCCACCACAATACCACCACACATCTGCTCTGGCTACTGTCAACTTGTGTCCATTTAATTTTTCTGTGAAATTCTCATACCTAATGCATAAGGATCTATTTACATGTCCTACTTCCCTTTTTTCTCCCTAAGGACCTTCCTAATGACGCAGGTGTATTCACCTTTTACTTGTGAATTAAAAATTGGTGGTGTCGCATTTGTGGCAGTTACCGGATATATTTTATCATATAGTGAACAGTTAGGGTATAGGTTATCTCTCATCATAATCTCTACTAAACATGTATGATTGTCCCTATCTACTACAGTCGGTACTGCATGTAACATAGGCCTTGGTCCCATACAAGCAATACATTGACTTAGTTGTGTAGCTTTTGCAGCTTGCTCAATCATAAATAGCCAATTATTTTTTGTAGCTGTTATTCCTGTCTCCATTCTGAAAACATCATCTGCGTGTAAGAGAGTTGCATTATATACCATTACTAGATTTGTGTTACCTACATGTCCTACGTTAAGCCCCCCTTCTCTTGTGACACTGACTGGATCTTCACATATAGTAATTAATGCCCAAGGGTCTTCTCCTGGCACATATGCCCATACCAGAAATCCCCAACAAAACCATAGAGGTTTCTTCCCTGATCTGTCTCTTGGGTCCAATGACTCAACTCTCAAGTCCACTGTAATTGTAAGACATGGTACACTTCCCTGCATAATCCCCTTTGTCATGGAAATTATTTTAGAATGGTGTCTTGCAAACTCTGTAGTTGGTGTTGGTGTCCAATCTAATCCAGTATATGCCACCATTGTCCCCCCTGATTTATCTCTCATGTCATTTGTCATGTACCATTCATAATCAGAATTTTCTGCTCCCACTTTTTTCCCTTTGTTTACTAATGCTATAAAAGGTACCTGGAATGCCATATGTTCTCCCTTTGCTAAACACAATTGCACCCCAAATAGGTATTGTCGCTTTTTTGCACATGCTCCCAGTTTATCCAATTCCCTTTTTGGTCTTATTTTTATCCCTGTCACCTTTGTAGGTTGAACTTTGCGTTCTTTCATCTGTTTGCCGGGTAAAATGTCTGAATAATCAGAAATTGAGGAATTGACACCAAGAGTTTTCTCCTTACCATAAACAGTTGTTGGTTTTGCATACCCCTGGCCTAACTCTGTTTCCCAGGCCCACATAAAAAATCCAGCTATAATCCCTATACCTACCACCATACTCACCCACTCTCTCGTGTCCTCAACCCTAAGAGTGTCCATGGTCCTATCATGTTGAGAGTACCTGCATGGTGAACACCTCAGTCTTAAAGTCTATCCCATGCATACCAGATTAGTGTTTTCAGCTTTGATTTGCTCAATTGCTCATCTAAATAGTTGATACTGGATCATGATTTTATTTTTATTTTATTTTTTAATTTTTTTTTTAATAATAATAATCAATCAGTAATAATAAAAATAATAATAATCAATAATCAATCTTCCCCCTGTTTTATCACAATCCTGTGATAAATTAAACTTCCCTTATAGCCCAACTTGTCACCCCCACCATTATCACTTATTTCGGATCCAAACCACGTCAGTTAAATGCACAGTCCCCTTTATCAGCCCAATCCATACAGTCAGAGAAGTTGCCAAATTCTTCAACAACCTGGAGTCCATCGTCCATAATTTCAAACCCCTGAATCCCAAAATCTAAAATGGCAATATCCTGA